ACGATACGGGTCTCAATGTCTCAATTTATATCTTCAAATGAAAAACATTCTAACATCCCTACCGTTAATAACAACCAGGAAAATTACAAATTTTTTGTCGACAATTCAAAACTAATATCAAATGTCAAACAAGAATCCTGGGAACAATTATACTCTATAAATAATATAGACAAAGCAACGGGACTGTTCATAGAGAAAATAAAAAAACTAATTGATATTAGTACCAATAAAGTAATAATTAGTCACAAAGAGAAAAGCAGAAATGCCTGGATTACCAAAGGATTAATAACATCGGCAATAGAAAAAGAAAGACTATATAATGTAATGAAACTAACGCCAACTACAGAGAATACCGACTGCTACAACCAATATAAAAATAAATTTATAGAGCTTGCAAGCCAAACCAAACGAAAACATTACCTAAATAAATTGAATAATAACTTAAATGATGCTAAGCGGCTTTGGACAACTATTGATGAGATTACTGGGAAAACAAAATTTAAAGAGTGTGTCACTGAGTTAAATACAACATCGGGAACAGTATTAAAAAATACTCAACAGATATGCGATGAATTTGTACAATTCTTTACTGACATAGGCGAAAATTTAGCAAGTAATATACAAGCAAATGTACAAAATACTCAGCCTCCAAAAAGAACTTTGAACTCATTTATTTTGGATAAAGTCGAGCAATGTGAAGTATAACCACTGTTATGTCCTTAAAAAATCGGAAAAGTCCTGGGTTCGATGGTATTAAAAGCGAGCATTTAATAATTATAGCCGAGGACATAACAGAACCACTCACTTACCTAATCAACAAATGCTTTGAATCTGGCATATATCCCTCAATTTTAAAAAAGGTAATATAATACCGATATATAAATCAGGAACAAAAACAGATGTTAACAACTATAGACCAATATCAATAATATCCAGTGTAGCAAAGGTTTTTGAAAAAGTTTTATCTACTAGAATGATTCGATACCTCACAAAATTCAAAATTTTAAGTGAAAATCAATAGGGATTTACAGAAGGGAAGGCTACATCGGACGCAATAACTAAAATTGTAAATCAAATACATGTTTTTGTTGATTTAAAGAAAGCTTTCGACACAGTTAATCACAAATTATTATTAGAAGCATTAGAGAGAATTGGTTTCAGAGGAAACGCGTACTCACTGATCGAAAATTATTTGTCAAATCGCCCACAATCTGTGCAGATATCAGGATCATTTAGTAAAGAAATGTATATTAAGTGTGGTGTCCAACAAGGAACTGTCTTAGGTCCGCTGTTATTCAATATATATTTAAATGATATTTTCCAAATTAATTGTATTGGTAAAATAACTAGTTTTGCAGATGATACTGCAATATTATATGAAGGCACTGACTGGTCTGATCTGAAAAATGTAATTGAAAATGATTTTATCAAAATTATGCGGTGGTTTAACAGTAGAAAATTAAGCATTAACTACTCTAAAACACATTTTTTACCATTTATATCTTATGCTAGACATCTGCCCAATTACACAAATTTCTCCTTCAACATTAATGATCAAAAAATGCAAATTAATAGAGTGCCCAACATAAAATACCTTGGAGTAGTCTTGGATCCTCACTTACGATGGGACATCCATGTCAATTATATTTTAAAGAAATTTGGATTTGTATCCTACAAAATTAAATACCTTGGGGATATATTGACAGAAAAATATCTACGAACATTATACCATGCACTGATTGAGCCTCATCTTACATCTGGTATATTAGCATGGGGAGCTGCATGTTCCTCACATATCTATAATTTAGAGGTTTTTCAAAAAAGTATTCTAAAAATGATATTTAAAAAACCGAAACTTTATCCCACTGAAAAATTATACGCAGATGTTCGAATGTATGATATAAGACAGCTTATTTCTTACACAGTATCACTCACTACCATAAATTTGTAAACACCGACCAAAAAATTAAACATAATCATTATACCAGATACAAAATTCGTGGCACAGTAGTTCCTCAACCGCATAAATCTATAATGCAGCGATCATATCTCTATTTAGCGCCTAAATTTTATGAAATTATACCTAAAGACTTAAAAGATTTACGTTTCGGAAATTGTTTCAAAAGAAATTTAAAAAAGTGGCTACATTCTACATATATATCTAGGACTGAAATTCACAAACTCATAAATACGAACATCAACTAAATACATAATCTACTGTTGCTAATTTTTGTCCTTTTTTGTCATTTGCATTCTACAGTTTCAACTTAAATTATTGGTCCATGTACAGGCGATGCCTTCTATTGGGCTTGTTTTGATTTTATATTTATTTGCTCATATTGTTTATTATCTTTGTACATTGAGTGAATAAATATTATTATTATTATTATTATCTTAGAGTTATCTTTGATTTCCACCAATGGTGATAAAATCGATACATTTTGAGTTAGTTTCCGACCGCAGCGCTGTCGCAAAATGTAACGAACAACGTTACGCAATACAAATGATCACTGTCTGCGTGACGACACACCCCTACAAGCGCTAAATCGTCTATCTATAATCATGCAGGCGGAAAACTTACCAGGGAATGTACGAGATGCAGTGTTGTAAAATGAACCAAGGATGCAATGTTGCAGAATTGATGGCGATCCTAACCTTCCATTTCGACCCAAAATGGAGCGCTGTTAGGACCGATCCGGAACCGATCCTAAACAGATTCGACACAATTCACAATTAAAAAATGTGTACGCTCAAAACAAAACGATGATTTATGCGTAAAACACTAATACACATATTATCAGATATATGCATCTTAACTCATGGAACTGGTGTAACATACTGGCAAAGCGACAGATTGACGCGACAGTGTTGCTAAGCAACGTGGCGATGAGCTTCGCAATTCAGCCGGCCTCTATCTCTTTCTAACACTATACACATTTCTCACTCGTACATATTGAACTCAAGCCGTCAGACAAATTTGGTTTTCAGTGTATAGGCTCCTTGGTACTCTATAGGTATATTGAAAATATGTCCTGAAGTATACTTGAATATACGTACTTTCTATTTCAAATCGCGTGCATTCCAGTGTGAGGTGAAATAATACAGCGAAAGGTAACATGTCATTGTTCTGACAGAGTTTTGATTTAATGCGGCCCCATTGCCTCATTTAGAATTCATGCTGCTGTTTACGTAAAACACTGCAGAGAATATAGCTTGGTTTTGCCTTGTTTTCAGCTTACTTGGAAACAAGCGAAATATCAAGTCTACATTAACTGTTAGTGTTGGATGAGAGACGAGGTTTTGTTTCGACACTCATTGTTCTATGTAGTAGCGTAATGCCGGAAACTAGCAATTGTTTGTATAAATCGCTTCATTTTTTTTTAAAGAATGACTTTTTGGCAAAGTTCAGCCATCCATCAAACCCGGATATGCGTTTAGACGCTTCCTATAATTCAAGGTGTATAAGATATGAGACGATGATAACAGAATCGTGATAACGACAAATCCATCTTAGAAAGTTTCGAAGAACCACCGTGAACCAATTTATTTTTATTACAAGGGTGTTACGTAAATAATTCGATATGGGTAACAATGTCAGGATAATATTAAAGCCACTTACTTGGTGACGCTTGACAACGAGTTGTCCTTCTTTGGCAAGCGATAAGGGCGATATGACCGGATTGTCGGAGCCAACACCTATTTTTAGATAAATGATTTGAGTTCCTCCCATATTCAACCGACTCATAACATGCACAACCTAAGGATTGCGTTAATTTTGCGCAATGGTACCTATTCGTCATAAAGATTATTATTTATTCATAATGTATCATACAGGGTGTCCTAGAAATAACACGCAAGAGTGACACGGGAGGTAGATTAGCGGCAGGCCAATCAAATAAAATTGATATGACCTTAGTAAAAGTTTTCTAGTTTTCGAGATACTTCCACTTTTAAGCTTTTTTAAAAAATCTCTACTTTTTGCTCCTTTTTTGCCTGTTATGGCTATAAAGAACTTCTAAATTGTTTTTTTCCTGGGCTGCCATAGATAGTTGGTTGAGACAACCGAGTATTCATTTCATTGAAAACTAGCACGGTATGTTAAAAAAAAATTAATTATTACATTCTGTTTCAATGTGAAATTCAAAAATAATTTTTATTTGGCAAAAAAAAGCCATTGGCGTACCATTTTTTTTCTTAAAAAATATCGAACTCAATACCCGCTACTGTTAAAGCTATTAATTATTTTTGCATTTTAAATATGCAACTTTATTAACTTTCACTACGTACTAAATATCAGTGAAATATCTAAAGCGGTTCTGAAAATACTAATTAGTTTCCATTTTTTTCCTAAAACTTCAACACCCCGAGTTTCTGTAAGGAAACATTTTTGGACCATTATGAAGCAAACTAACATTATTTTTTCATGTAGATTCACACCCTCAGATATTCGCATATCATTAAGGAACACCCAGTATATATATACATATATACATACATATATATCGATACGTATTTGCCAAAGTAACGTAACTCACCAAAAACGATTTCGGAGAAAAAACGTGTTTTTAATTTAACCTGGTTAAACTTTTTTAAATTGTGCAAAATTTACCAGGGTGTTTCTCTGAGGTCTATATTTAATTAAGAAAAATGATTTTTGAAGTTTTTCTATAGTTTTAGTGGTTAATTGATACTTACGTTACTTTACGGGTTCAGAAATCTCGAAGTCTTGATCAAAAATATAACGTAAGTACACAGATACGTCAGTTTGGCGGCAAATTGTAGCACTTAAAGTATTTTGGAAATAATTAAAAACTATCGTTTATTATTAAAAAAACACAAAATTACGTTACAAAAGAAAATATGAAATTCTGACTAGTAAAAAATATATATTTTTTCAAGTTTTGGAGCTTTCATCTTCATTATCATCCTCTGCATCAGTTTCTGCTAACTCATCAGGAAGAGAAGACTTACATTTTAATTTAAAGAATTCATCGTGAAACCTGCAGGTATGACATTGTTTTTGCAAAGTTTTTCCAAATCCCTTTTCTTCATTTCGGATATTGGAAGCAGTTGTTTATAAATTTTTTCAGGTTCATAAACTGCATTTTCTTGCCGCTTTCGACCTTAAACAAAGAAATACTTCAGGATAACTTGCATATATGTATTTATTTTTTATATTTGTAGTTCATTAACAGTTTTTTGTATTTAATAAAGTCTTAATAACACGGGAATTCCCTATACAGGGTGTCACTAAATTAGTATTCAAAACATCAACCACAAACAGAACAACAAATTTGCGATAAACATGGGTCCGAAAATGTTTCATTTCCGAGATACATTGTGTTGAAAATCCGTTAAAAAATCAGTTTTTTCTTATAATTCAGACAAAATGTTTTCGAAAATTTTTAAACTTTGTCGTTTCTCTTATTTAGATTGATCTATTTCGATTACTTCTTCATTTACTAAAGTAGTTTTTAAATATTTTCGGAATTATCTAGATCAAAAATATTGTCACTTGAAATAATGGATATCTGCATAGACCCGATTTCTTCCTCAGAATAAACATTATTCGATTAATCATTTTGGCTAAGAGCCGCCAAAATCCTTTTTGTTCGTGAACTGACCATAGACATAATCTGAAAGTAACCGAGCATTTATGTTTACAATGTTTCATAGCTTCTATAAAAATTAGAATAGAAACAAATACAACAGTCTTTCTCTAATTTCAACCGATTCATTCCTGTAAACTTCTCACAGGCTTCGAGGTTATGACAATAACTTCTAATAAATAAACGAAATTAAATAAGAAATGGGAGTTTTATAAGTAGGTACATAATATTAGTTAAGGTTCTAATATTTTTAAATTCTACAAACTACAAAAAAAGTTTTTTTTAACTTCAACCGATTCATTCCTGCAAATTTCTCACAGGCTTTGAGATTTTCACACAATCATTTGTAATAAATGAACGAAATTAAATATGAAATGGAATTTTATAGGTATGTACCTACATAATATTCGTTAAGATTGTAATATTTTTGAATTCTAACTATAAAAAATGTCGTTATTATTTACTTACCTAAAATCAATAATTAGTCGATGGTAGCACAAACCTAACACTGTCTAAGCCAAACACTGACTGCGAAAATATGACGTAAGTCGCAGAAACCGACCGGGACTTACGTTATTATGGCGGTAAAAAAAGTTAGCTTGCATTACTATGATGGAAATAGTGTTAAAGTTACCTTTCTTTTACGGATATGATTTAAAAAATTCTGGACATACGTTTTCAAAAAAAGTTTAAAACAAAGGTTTAAAGTAAAATCTAGGCTTCCTACACTTTGGCAGTATCTTCTCAACAATAAAAGCCTTACGTTAATGGAAAAACATGATTTTCACCAAAAATGTCACTTACGTTACTTTGGCAAAAATGCATCGATATATATCCTTTTTTGTGGATTTTGCTCAATATTTTCCTACTTTTTGTTATATACCTTTCTCCGCATGATCATTTTCTCTCTCTCTCTCTCTATATATATATATATATATGAATGCTTTTTTGAATATAGGGAGTGCTGAAATGGATCAAAGATGTTGAGGTAAAGCGTTGTAAAGTTTCAGTGCAAAGTAATGTAGACATCTTTCGCTAGAATTTAGCTTATGTGATGGGTAGATGTATTTCTGACTTAGCGAGTATTGTAACTGTGGTTGAAGACGTTTTTTCCACACGTTTCCTTATAGTTGAAGATAAATAGTAGAGTGTTATAGATATGAATTCCCGCCAATGTTAATAAGCTGTTGACTTTAAATATACTTCTACATGACTCTCTAGGTTTCATTTTTAACATGGTTCTTATTAGCTTTTTTTGTATGATGAAAATTCTATTGGCTGCGGTATTATTACCCCAAATCGTTATTTGATAAGACATAGTATGAACTGATGACAGCGATGCATGAGAAGTGCAGTGGTAACCTACTTGACGCCATTTTCGAACTTCCAAGCGAAGTTCTTGCAAATCTGGCCCACCTCCTAGGTATCTAGCCATCTCTTTATCGATTGGTTAGTTCGATTAAGATGACGTATTTTCATCTGGATAGGAAATATTGTACACATGATCAAAAAAAGTGTCTCGAATTTCGGCATATATCCTTTCAAAATACTTACAAACTTAACGCGTAATTTATAAATTCGAGAGCTTGATGCCGCTTTATTGCTTGTGACTAACATAAATTCGAATTTGCGACCGGTGCCTAGAAGATCAAGATGCAGACAATAATCAAAATCATAATCACTAAATTCTCAGAATTTACTGCCAATTAAGCAACCGCTTATCGACGTCCACATATATATAGATGCAACAACTTGCGATTCACATATATGTATTTATCTTGCATGTTTACAATTACTGTGACTCACACTATATTTATGATTAAATATTTAGCAGCTTTGAATATTGCTCGCTATTTTTTCGATAAGCTTTATCAGATACATAGGTAAATATTCATGTCAGTTATAAACGTCACTTGTATTTCTAAATCGGATAACCATAACAGCCCACTTGACGTACAACTTTGAAATCAATCAAAATCATTGCAACGTATCAATTTTACTTCCTACGTCGTTGGGCGAAGAGGTATTGTAACCGCGAAAAATTTCGAAAATGCTAGAAATGTCAAAAAGATGCAGGGAATAAAGGTTTAACGTTGTGGATTGGGGAGAGTATATGTCAATTTCTTGGTGCTAGCAATTTATACGTTTCCAACCCAGGTAAATTCGATGTACCTATAAGACATTTCATAAATTGAAGATCAGAAGAATAAGGGGCGCCTCTCTCCTTTTTTTTACTACTGATCTGTGGGATCAAAATTCTTGACCCGAATTAAAATAGGCCTATGAGAAGGCATCTTTGTAGTAATGGATCAAATGAATATAGTCGATTTCTTCTACAATATCCATCAAACTAGCGAAAAATATAGATTTGTGTAAGAAAGGTGTCTAATCCCCATATTTAATCAACACACTCTTCAGTTTAGCTACAAAAACACATTTTTCCAAATTATCCGGGAATCAAAACCTATGACCCGAATCAACAATGACCAATTAGAAACTTCTCGTCTAAAATGTAGTGGAGCCCCATCATGTAGGAATCACATATTCTAACCCACATTTAGAGGAACATCTACGAGGGATGTCTTTCAAGTTTTGCATATGGAAATAAAACAACACGGTAGGTAGTTTTGGTGGTGTACCAATCCGCAGTAACAGTTCAATTCCGGAAACTCAAAAAATATGTACAGCATTGTTAGTGGTGATGAATCGTGGATTTACTGTTATGAACCAGAAAATAAACGACAGTCGGCTGTTTGGGTGTTCTAACGTGAAGAAAATCCAACAAAAGTAATCCGTTCTCGAAGTGTTTCGAAAAAGATTTGTGACAAAAGCGGGTCATATTGCAACAATTCCCTTTTAATGAGCAAAGAACCGTTACTGCGGATTGGTATCCCACCATTTGTTTGCCAAAAGTCACCACCGAGCTTCGAAAAATCAACCCCGAAAGAAGAATCATCCTCCAGCAAAACAATGCAAGCTCGCACACAGCCCAAAAAACAAGGCAGTATTTAACGGAAGAAAACGTGGAATTATTGGACCACCCTCCATATAGTCCCGATCTAGGTCTTAAGAATTTCTTTACTTTCCCGAAAATTAAAAACAGACTGCGTGGTCAAAGGTTCCAGTCGCCAGAAGAAGCAGTTGACGCATTCAAAAATGCCGTTTTGGATCTGCCAGCAAACGAGCTTCGAAAATTGGTTCGAGCGCATGCAGATGTGTACTAATCTTCGTGGACAATACTTCGAAAAACAATAAAGTCATTTAAAACTACCTACCGCGTTGTTTTATTTCCATATGCAAAACTTAAAAGACATCCCTCGTACAAAGTTGTGAGTCATCGGCATACTGATAAAGCCTTGCATAAGCAACAGCTTCAGACGTATCTGCAACATAAATACTAAACAGCAAGGGCGAAAGGATTGATCCTTGTTACGTCCAAATCTTTCATTTTATAATAAGAAATGAGATATTTGCGATATTCGCTAGTGATTTTCAGCCGAAGCGCTACCAGAAATTGATCCGTTTAAAGTCGAGTAGGGAACTTTGTTCTGTTAGGAACTGAATACCTTGTCGCTCATGAATTCATATTTGAGGGATAGAAGGTTATTTGTCGAATATGATGGTCATAGGTCGAGTTACTATCGGGCCACGTCCGGGGTACCTCAAGGGTCAAATCTAGGTCCATTATTGTTTTTGATATTTATTAATGACTTGTCTTTTGAACTGAAGTGTTTCCATTTGTTTTTCGCTGATGACCTTAAAATCTGCACGTCAGTCAAGACAGTCGAGGATTGCGTCATGTTGCAAGATGACTTAGCTCTAATTTCGTCATGGTGTTCACGAAACTGTCTCTGTCTGAATGTTTCGAAATGAGTTATGACTTATACAAGAAAGGTTAACTATTTAATTTATGATAATTATAACATCAATGGTCAGGTTATAGACAGATGCACCTCTTATACAGACCTTGCAGTCATTTTTGATACCACGCTAACGTTTACTGAGCATATACTCAAAGTCTCGTCGGCAGCCACTCGACTACTTGGTTTCTGTATCAGAAACTGGAAGGGTTTCTCCAATGTTGATACATTAATGACTTTATTTTTTACTTTTGTCAGGAGCAAGTTGGAGTATGCGACTCTGATCTGGTCTCCTATATACCAAAATTCTGTCGTGATCCTTGAGACCATTCAACGTAAAGCTTTAAAGTATGTTCACCTTAAATGCACAGGTTCTTATCCAGAAAGAGGTTGTGACCATAGTGCCTTATTAGAGTTTTTCAATTTGGATTCACTGTCAACAAGACGAAACATATTTGCTTTGTCGTTTTTGTATGGCCTCATTCACAATAAAATTGACCGTCAAAATGTACTTGAAAAAATATGTTTCCGCGTTCCAAGGCTAGGGAGTCGACAACAAACGGCATTCTATTGTCAAGCTGGCCGTACAAATGTTATGACAAAATCGCCAATTAATCTCATGTGCTGCGTCATGAACACTGTTACTGAATCGTGTAATATTTACAGTGGCAGTTGTGCATGGATCATTAACTGTTATAGATCATCCAAACTTATTTAGAATGTGTGTTACTATAGATTTAAGTCCAAGAACCATGTCTCTTTAATTGTTGTTGTTTTCAGCATTTCCTGTAATTGGGTTTCACCTGTTGGAAATAAATAAATAAGATAACTTCCATGCCATAAAGCAACTACCAGTAGTAGTTCCTTCTACGCTCACCGAAAAGGTGACGTTCAATTCGACTTTCAATTAGAGCCTAGCACCAAGCTACAAGCAGTCGGGCTTGTGAAACACGTAACCAGAGGATTCACCCTCAGCATGAGTACTGACATCTTGCTTTTGGATGTCTCAAAAGCCTTTGATAAGGTGCGGTACGCGGTCCGCCTCTATAAACTAATCCAAAAGAATTTTCCTTTTAGGCTTCTGGAATTGCTAATATCCTTCCTTAGTTTCTGATCAAAATGAACCATGCTTTTTCAACAATACGGCCAATTCGGGCCGATGTTCCTCAGGGGTCGGATCTAGGACTTTTTATCCACGACGTCCGTTGCCCCAGCAACTGTGAAGTCTACCTTTACGCTGACGACACTCCACTTGTCGCCCAGTCGTGTACTAGTGATCTGGTTCAGATGGGTTGCAGAGTACGGTGGACGAAGTAATAGAGTGGGCGGAACAGCAGCTGATTAAAATTAATCATTCGAAAACGCAGGCTACTTATTGCGTGACTCAGTGCACTCACAGAAGAGCAAGTTCGTAAACATTCAAGGCCACTTCTGTGCACTGTGATCAAAAATTAGCGCGAACTTTTAGTAAACCCAAAATTACAGTCTAATAAAATCTGAATCAATTTTTTTTTACATTATTCACCTCAAAAATAAATCCATGTACCAATTCAAAGTGGCTAGGTTTTTTCTCTTTAACTAATACACTTCTGTTTTTCTTTGCTCTTCTCCTTTTTTATCCTCTTTCGCTTTCTATTTTTCTTTGATATTGTCTGGTTTCTGGCCAACCAGGACTGACAGATGCGACCAACGTACATTAGACAGTGACTAATGTTGCCTAGGTCATACGGACCGCCCGAACAAACAAATGACAGATAGAATCGCTATGGTAATCAGTAAATTAATAAACATGTCCAAATTTTCATTTTCTTTTTCACCTACATTTCAAAATTCCCAGTTCAGTTCAATACCTCCAAATATCGATATAACATGATGCAACCAAATATGGAATAAAAGTGCAAACGGTTTTGCGATACCCTATATCGCCACTCCTAGACAAACCAGCTTATCAGAATTTTTTCAGCGCGCCTGATATAAAATAAAGTGTTATGACGTATACCTAAACAGTAAGTGTTGCACTCCGTTGCAATAATTGTGCACTTTTTATTGTGAGACCGGAAAATGGCCACGTGTAGCGCGTTGAGAGGCTCATTCGAGACCAATGATGAAGACGCCGAACAAATCAGGGCATTAACGAGGTGAGTCTCAAAGTGCCCTGACACAAAAAACACCTAATCAATTGACAAAAAGCTCAGAGCAAATATAGTCTTACCTTCTTTGCTATCTGCAGCTGCTAGTGAACAACATATATACATTTTTCGCTGTACCCAGTGATTTTTCGATTTTTTTTAACTTTTTCGCCCAACTTTCACTATTTTTTACTATCCTACTGTTTTACGTTTAGATATAGACATTATCTACAAATATAAGTGAATTTATTTAGCGTCTAAAAGTGACTTTATTTGCAATTAGTCTAATCATATTAGCAAATTTCCCCGAAATAATTTTAAAGTCTGATTTTATTGGTGCAAGTTGTTCAAGGGAGTATTTATTTTTAATTTTTGTGGAAAAACTTTTTGACAACAAAGAATGAGAAAACGCGTTTTTTGGGATTCAATCGAAAGTGTTGACAGGAAAGAAAAAACCTTTCATATACGATTTTTAGGTATTTATGAGACCTACAAAATGCGAAATTACGTAAAAAGATCTGACTCGCAACAAAAATTTTATGGCCGATAAACGAGGCAAAATGCAGATTTTCTGTAATTATAGGCCGTTATAAGACTAGCGGACACACCGACAGACCGACCGAAATGAGTGACATGGGTTTTGGTTTCATATAACATGCAAAAACATATCTCATTTACGAAAATGTTCTCGATTGCAATACTTGGACTCGAATTTCTCCCAAGCATGAGAAGTTTCTGTTCATCTATTAAAAATTGTGGTAGCAGCTATTTACGAGTATGATTATTGTTACATCAACAAATGAAAGGGATTAACGGAACTAAGGTTACTAAACAGGAAAAATCTGGTTTGAGATCCTAACAAAGAGATATTGCGAGTATTATTCTCTTGCCTATTGTAGTAAAACTTTTGTTGTCAACTGGTTTAGTACAGTTCAATGGACGGTCTTGTACTGTTTGCGAGTATATTTCAAGGTGCCACCATATTACTTGAGGTTCTTTGATGGCGCAAAGTAAATAGTTCTAATTAAGGAAAATATTATTAGTTATCGTACTATAGTTTGTAATCTAACTAAAAGCAAAGAATATTTATTATTATGATTTATATGTTTATTATTATATTCCTATACAGGGTAACTCACAAGTCGTGACCAAAAATGAAACATTATACACAAGACAGCATTTTAAGGGGGATCTTCTATATAACATTTTTCCTCGAGGACTTCATTAAAAGGATATGGGGTGTTGAAGTTTAAAAATAAAAAATATTTTTTTCATAATCTTCGAAACCGTCAACTGGAATAAACTAAAATTATGTGGATTAACCTAAGTATTGTCCACATTCAAAAGTATTTACTTAAAATTAACGTGCATCAGTGGCGGAGATATTAGTGGCATTATTTTTCCAAATAAAAATAGTACACTACAACAAATAATTATTCTCGTGTTTTCCCTAGAGTACATTTTTCGTAAAAATAAAAAAAAAATTAGATAATCAAAGCTTCATTTCAATAAATGTTCAAAAAGACCACCATTCTGACGGATACAAGTGCGGCATCTTTTTATTATAGAAAAACGGATTTTCGCAAAATTTGTTGTGGCTTTCTTGTAACTGATCAAAAGTAATTAATTTGTTCAGCATGTCCGTTTCTGCCAATCCATCGTTGTCTAAAATAATTATTTAACTATGCGGTTATGTCACGACGAACATGCGGTGGGACACCGTCGTGCTGATACATTCGTATAGTCAAAATCACGAAAGCTGACTATTACGTCACATCATAAATTGTACCGAAGTAGTCAATAGACGTACGTCGATGATAAAATCACGATGTCAGAGACATAATGGCAATTCACTTATATTATGATTTTGTGAAGTTACGTTATTTCACGGATTATTTTTATTTTAATTTTATTTCATGGTTTTGAGTAACACCTTAATAATTTTAGTGCGGAGTTTTTCTTTTGAAAAAAACTTATGAGTAGAATACCTTAAGACAGGAACACCAAGGACCAAAGTATTATTCGAAATCAACATTTAACATAACCTAACTATTCATCTTTCAAATACGATCGATCATGCAACATGAAAACATCGCCTATCTTTGTCGGATACATGCAAATTAGCAATACAGTTTGTTTGGACAATAAATTTCTGTTTGTCTCTGTGTAGCATATCTGAAACTTCATTAAAAAATATTCCTACAAATCGCTGTCGTTAGTCTTTGCTACAGACTTAAATGATGACGTAATCGTCATCTTTCGTGATTTCGACTATACTCTCATTGCTAACGGAACATCATCTGACACATTTTCTATGTAATTCTCTAGAAAAGATAACTAACAGTTTGCATTTAAACGTTATGTCAATAAGAAATTAATAGAAAATCTGTGTTGAAACGTGTGGTTTCTCACACATTGGAGATTTTCTAACGACCAAATATATTATGTTCGTATGAGAATTAAATGATCCTCGTAAAAAGCGATTCATATGACCACAAAGCCAAAGCGATAGAATCTGCATTTTGATTATGCATTTTCCGTTAACCAGTCACAAAAATTTCGCCGTTGCACTTCGTCGTCGGGTTGCAGACATTGCACATTTTATGTATGGTAAGGATGTAAAACCTCTCGATTTAAAATTCTCCACGTAAGACTTTGGGAACATGATAAATGGGCTGCTACCCTCCTAGTACTAGGATCATCCAACGACAAATTAATCACTTGAACAATATGCCGGACATCATGGCCTCACTCCGGGAAGTTTGGCAATTCTACTATTTTAATTTGGAAAAATAATGCCACTAATCTCCTGTATCTCCGCCACTAGTGCACGTTAATTTTAAGACAAGATTTTTCAATGTGGACAATACTTAGGTAAATCCACATAGATACCAAATTTTAGTTCATTCCAGTTGCCGGTTTTGAAGATATTATTTTTTTGTTATTTTTAAACTTCAACACCCCGTATGTTTTTAATGAAACTCTCGAGGAAAAAATGTTACATAGAAAAGCCCCTTAAAATGCGGTCCTGTTTATGATGTTTCATTTTTGGTTACGACTTGTGAATCTGTATAAATGTTGAGAGATAGTGTTGTTACATATCTATTAGCATAAAAAGGAGCAGATTGAATATTGCAGACCGTGGAGCTTTGTGCTTATTCCTCACAAAACTGAACCCAATTATTGATAACACAGCTCTACAAAAATATTTTTTAAATGCTGTTTTGGTAATTTTAACAGATTTATACGGTATACTGAATCTAAAAATGAATTCAAATTTTTGCAAGGCAGTACTCGTAAATGATATAAATAATGCATATAAAAATATGTGAAGTCATGTTTATCATTTTAATAGTTTATTTTTTTAATACAGACGAGCTGGTGAACTGATTTAAAATCGTTGCTTCTTTACTGTGAGGCTGCGTTTGGAACATTTCCCCTTAGGTATAGAATGTGGTATGTCCCTCTGTGGTGCTACAATTTCCTTGATATCTTTTTTCAATCTCCTTGATGTCTTGATGGAAACGTTCCCCTTGCTCTTCACTCACAGCCCCTAAATTCCCAGGAAAATAGTCCAGGGTGGGATTTAAGAAAATGTACTTTCAGGCTTATGAGACAACCCAATTCTTTAGAAGATTTTAGCATCCTTTTGACTATATTTTTATAATCAGGATCTTTATTGTTGACAAAAATTTCACTACAGCATCCTTAAATGCGAGCCGTCCTCCACTCTAGAGGTCATGGTGTCGACAAACTCTTGATCCGCTAGGAGCATTCTGATTTCTGGCCCAACAAATACACCTTGGTTTAATTTCGCCTCCGAAAGTCCTAGAATCTTTTTAATCGGTTGTCTGAAGTATTCTCAGTTTTTTTGGGAGAGATTGCCTAGTTTTATATGAAGGGGATTTTTTCTGGTGGTACTAAGTTTTATCGCAGAACATTGTGTCGACCAACCGTAAGCGTCCTTGGCTCCCAACTCTCTACCGACCAGGTCTCTACTGTCCCATAGGTCTAAAAAAAGGAAATTTGGTGTAACCGGTTTGTTGACCCAGCAGCATGTACAAGATCTTCAAATCACCACACATTTGCCAACCATCAACTTCATATTTGAGTTTTTGAAAAATCACTTCCAAGTTCTCATAGGTCTCTTTCAAGAACACAGGATGTCCAACGGGTATGGCATAGAAACCACCGTTATGAAGTAAAACTGATTTTAAGCTGCCATTGTTTCGATTCACACTGGATTCTGAATTGAACCATCAAACCTTCTGTATCATAACAATAAACTAGATTTTCTTCTTCGGTGAAGTAAGGGAGAAAACTCTTTTCACGATATCTGGACCAAGAAAAATGCACTCCAGGTAGTAATAAATTCTTATCGTTGAATCCTGTAAAGGAAAACTCTCGCAACCTATCAAGTATGAAACTGGCATTAGGCAAGGAGATTCGCTGAGCCCACTAATATTTAATCTGATAATGGATGAAATCATAAAGAAAGTTAAAAAAAAAGAAGAGGATATAGAATGGGAGAAAAGGAAATGCAGATAATATGCTACGCCGACAACGCCATAATAATAGTCGAAAATGAAGATGGCCTACAGAGATTAATTAAAGAATTCGAATATTCGGTACTATGCAACCTGGTGATTTCGACAGAGAAAACTAAATCGATAGTGATATCAGCGGAACCGATACGATGTAAACTGGTCGTAAATAACAAAATAATAGAACTAGTGATGGACACGGAATATTTGGGAATCAAACTGTCAAGCTATGGAAAAGTGGAAAAAGAAGTACAAAAACAAGTGAACATGGCAGCAGGATGTTTCACCAATACAATCTGGAGAAACAAATATCTCACAACGGAAACGAAAACTAGGATATATAAAGCAACAATAAGACCGATAATCACGTATACAGCGGAAACAAGAGCAGGTACGGCGAAAACACAAAGATTATTGGAAACAGCAGAAATGAAAGTCTTACGACAAATAACAAACCAAACTCTAAGAGACAGAGTAAGAAGTGAGGAAATACGAGCGACATGTGGTATAGAGGAAATAACCTATGGACCAAAAGAAGAAAAATAGAATGGAATCAACACATAGAAAGATGACAGAAAATAGAACAGTACGAATAGCAAGAGACAACTCGCCAAAAGGAAGAAGATCAATGGGACGACCGAGGAAAAGATGGTCAGACAACATCAATTGAGGCTAAAAACCGAAGTAAAACAGGCATGAGCCTATTAATAAAGTAGAAAGAAGAAGAAGAGTCCTGATCCAAGCAACTCAGCAGCATCTTTGAGAAGTTCCAGATCTCGCACCAAATCATTTATCTCTTCCTGGGAGAACAATGTTGGTGTAGTGTCATCTTCAAAGTAAAAAACTTGAACTCTGATCGTCTTGAGGTTGTACTTCCCATTCATCTGAGTCTGGCATCTCTCCCAACGTAGCAGGGGGCTTTGGATCAGGTTTTTCTGTATCACGAAGAAGAAGACTAATAACTGAGGGGAGTTTTGGGTATGATATGGAATGCTTTGATTTTGGGTTGATCCCTTTGACATCACATGCAGTCATCATTATGGTTCCTTTGTTCTCGCCATATCATACGTACCCCAAAGCGAAAACTTTTCTTTTTACCCTCAAACCTGAAACGAAGGTCCCCCACACATGTTTTGCAAACTTCATGAGGGGTCCAGGCTTTGTCTTGATTCCAAAATATGCAAAATACAATTGCTTTACAAAGTCTGATATATTGAGTTGTTGCTTCAGATGTGTATATTCGCCACAGACGAAAGAAAGAGAATCACACTTTCGCGAGGCCATTTTACGAAATTATATAACCAAAATCCTAATAATTCCAGATAGTCGCTATACCAAGAGAAGGTTGCTTTTAGATGTATCAAAGGCATTTGACAAGGTGTGGCACATGGACTCCTTGTATAAGCTCATCCAAAAAGGTTTTCCATTGTGGCTACTTAACTGTTGAAATCTTTTCTAGAAGGAAGAAAGTTTCGAATCAAAATTAACAATGTTTTGTCAACAACACGGCCCGTAAGAGCCGGTGTTCCTCAGGGTTCGGTCTTACTAATAATCCTTTATTCACTTTATATACATGACGTCCCTTGCCCCAGCAACTGTGAAGTCTATCTCTATGCTGACGACACTGCACTGCTAGCCCAATCGTGTTCTGGTAACCTGGTTCACGACAGGCTGCAGACTGCGGTGAAGGAAGTATTGGAGTGGGCGGATCGGTGGTTGATCAAAATTAATACTTAAAAAACTCAGGCAATCTATTGTACTAAAAACATACTGATATTTTGAAAATAAAATTCCAAATTACCTTTCGGCAGCTTTATCCTTTGTTGTGCAGAAATTCAAAATTAGGTTTGATCAACAAGATTCGGTTGTATAAAATGGTTATAAGACCCGCAATCACCTACGCATGCGCGGCTTGGTGTTTTCTTGCCAAGACGCACATGGAGAGACTGCAAGTCCTGCAAAACAACCCTACGCACAATTACGTACTAACGCCCTTTGGTACGTGTCAAATGAGACCATTCACAGAGATCTTGATATCCCATATCTAAGGGATTATGTAAAACAACAGGCGCAGCGGCGTTATAATCAATCCGAAGGGCATAGCAACCCTCTTTTGCGTGATTCAGTAGACTACACAATCGAGCAAGTTCGCAAACTATCCGGGCCGCACCTCGCACTGTGACCAAAATTAAATTTTAAATTCGTACCAGCCAAAATTATTTCAGTATACAAAACCGGTCAAAATTAGTTTTTGGAGCTACAAAATAATTCGAGTAGTGAAAGCAATAATGCTTAAGCTATTTCAAATGATTTACTTCTTTTCTTTGCTCTATTTCTTCCTTCCTTTCTTTCCTTCTTTTCCTTTTCCCCTTAAACATGTATGGTATCTGGGTAGCCTGACCAGACATACTAACAGACCGACGAGACTTTTAACTAAGAGCAAAGGTCCACCGGACCGCTCTGACGAATAATGACGAATAGTAAGTACCAATACAAGGCTGACAAGGTAAATAAATGCGAGAGTTGGAGAGGTTAAATCAAAAGCGTGACATCCACAAAACAGCTGATCGTAACTAACCACGTGTTGTCATTATTCGGCCAGAGATACATGCGGTGTCGGGGCATGTGATGAAAATACTAAAATCTGTCTGTCAATGGAAAATGATTTCACATTTTGTGGAAAATTCCGACGTGCAAGACATTTTCTGATATCAGTTTGGTCTTCAGCACATCAGACTTCATAAGAATCAGTTGAAATCATCCAATCAGTTTTTGGTTGCAGACCTGTGTAATTTACCGTCAATCTCATTTATTATACTTTTTTTGCACATCTGATTTGTATTGCGGGAGAAGTTACGTTTTACGTCATCAATGTTTTATTTTTATTCCTATTAAATTTGTAATGAAGTTATTTTAATAAACATGATTTAAGAAAATATTTTTCTCTTTACTCGTACCACTGTGAAAATTTGAATCGTTAGATATATCTTCACACTTCTTGGCGAGCTTTTGCAATGCAATATGGTAGGATTCTAACAAGGTCCACCGAAACCGCCAACATTTTTGAAGAAAGAAAGTTTTGAACCACTACTGTAGAGCATTCTTTGTGATCTACAAAAGGATTTATATTTTTTCTTTATTGTTACAGATATCCAGATGGGAGCGTCAAACTCAGAAATCCAAATATTGAACTCATGGATCAAGACATTTTGTATCACTTAGCCTTGGGTAGTGAATCTCATGACTTAGTGGAGATGTTCGGCGATGTCAAGGTACACAATTACATATTCTTTAGAGATATTTTGGATTTACGTGAAAATGTCTCATTTAGTACTGAACATTCTTGCAAACACCACAAACAAATATATCTTTTGCAATTATGAATATTTTGGAGTTAATAGCACCTATTTTAAATAAGGCTTTAACTCATTTTCGGCGTCAAATTGATCTTTGTTGTATCAAAAAACAAATCGTTTATCGAAATATGTCAGCTAACATCTATTACAGCTATTATAGCTGCTGTTCAATCTCTGGTAATATATATTGTACGTCCGCTTACCTAGAGAGCTAGCCTAGATAGTGCTGATGATTGCCAATAAGCATGAAACAGTTATACACTGTTGGAAATGCGTTAGTCGACAGTAATTATTAGTAAATGGAACGTTGTTATGACAATTACAAATCATTAAACCTTAATAACTGTTACATCACAATTCAGGTAATTTAGATAATGCAAAAAATTGCCGTTAGTTGACTAAAGGTTATAACGGGTGCGCCAATTTTTATGTCGGTATTGAAACATCGAATGACTTTGATATTTACCAACCGAGTGATTTGGTATACGTGTTTCTGAAATGTCATTTTACTACAATTTTAGTCATGAATCGCTTTACACCGAAACAACGCGCCGAAATACTCACAATGTACATTGGAAATCGTCGTTCAGTTGTGTTAACGCAACGTGCATATCGTCGTAAATGGCAAACAGGCACCGTCTGACACCACTATCCGTCGTTTGGTTCCGAATTTTCTTGAGTACGGGACGCATTTTAACACTATGGTATAGGATTCGGCACCAGCCTTAATTTTATTGGTCAATTTCAATTTATTCAACCAATAACAAGCCGGGTGCCGAAATCACTACCCGAATGTTAAACAGTGCTGAGCATGGGGTCAGAATGTTATCAAATTAAATTTAAATTTTCTTACATTCCGCTAAAAATACGTGAGATAATAATCAACGCACGTTGTTTCCTATTACGATATTTAATGATTTTAAAATTAATAATTTGGTTTAGCAATAAGAAAAATTACATGAAAAATTTATATATATTTATATAGGTGAAAAATTAAAGCTTCCGCCTTTTGTTGGGTACTTCGACAACATTTAAGCAAGGAGGACTCTTTATACTTTTTTATTCTCTCTAGATTTCAATGGTCTTTGTCATCATCATCAGGAGAGTAGTATGTGAGGATGTTGCCAATTGTTGTTTACGTTAAGGATGAGGGAAACACCCAGTAACATGGTGAAAGCTGGATAAATGGTGCAATGATCAAAATTATATAAAATACACACAGCTGTATGACAAGAACAAGTTAAAAACAGATAAAAAAAATGTTTAGAAATTGAAAGTTAAACATTACATCGTGAAGCCACTTGATGATTGCACAAAATGGTGGGCATGTTACTGGGTGCTTCCCTCATCCTTAACGTAAACAACAATTAGCAACATCCTCACATACTACTCTCCTGATGATGATGGCAAAGACCATTGAAAGCTAGAGATAATAAAAAAGTATAAAGAGTCCTCCTTGCTTAAATTTTGTCGAAGTACCCAACAACAGGCGGAAGCTTTAATTTTTCACCTAACTGGTCTAGACGACAATGACCACGTCTCAAGTTATATTTATATATATTAGTAGAAGCAGTTTATTGATAACATTCTGACACTGTTTTCAGCACTGTTTAACATTCCGGTAGTGATTTCGACACCCAGCTTGTTATTGGTTAAATAAATTGAAATTGACCAATAAAATTAAGGCTGGTGCCGAATCCTATACCATAGTGTTAAAATGCGTACGGGACAGTGGGAGATCGTCAACATACCGTTCATCAACGACCAAGTTGCAATGAATTGGTTGAGGCGGTCAGAGACAGCGTTGCCCAGAACCCAAAAGTCGTATCGTCACCGCGCTCAGCATTTTGGCATCAGTAGAACCACGTTGCGGCGCATTTTGAAGGATAATTTGCATTTGCATCCTTATAAGGTGCAGTTAACACAAAAAGTATTAACAACTGAGCGTCCACGTCGCTTGGAATACGCCCGAACAGTCGCTCGCATGGTTAATGCTGAACCTGCTTTTTGGAAGCAAATTGTAATGACCGATGAGGCCCATTTCACGCCCTCTGGCAGCGTTAATAAGCGAAACTGCCCACGAAATGCCGTTGCATGACCGGAAAGTGACTGTTTGGGCCGGCGTTTGCGCCAAAACCATCATTGGGCCATTTTTCTTCAACGAAAACGAAACAGTCGATGGAAATCGATATCGGTGGATGTTGGCTCGTTATGTCTGCCCACAAATGCTTGAAAAAGGTCTTGATGGTTACTGGTTTCAACGATACGGTGCGCCATGCCACACAGCAAATGAAACAATCCAATGTCTGCAACGAAAATTCCCTGGACGTCTGATATCAGAGGTGACATTGACTGGCCACCCAGGTCTCCAGATTTGACCCCAGCGGACTTTTTCTGTGGGGTTATTTCAAAAAACAAGTGTGCGCCAGCAAGCCCCAGACCACTGAAGAACTCAAGGCAAACATACGTACCGCAAACGCCGCTATACCACCAAAGATGATCGGAAAAGTAATGGAAAACGCAGCAAAATGGGCACATTTTGTTTTGGCCAATAAAGGTGGCCACTTGATAGATGTTGTGTTCAAAAACTAGTCCCAATAAATTGTAAAGGACCATATAAAAATACTCGATATATAGAAATCAGTTTTTCGTTTTCAAAGTTATTTCATGTTTACATACGACATAAAAAATGGCGCACCCTGTATCACTTCAATGTACGCTAAATATGCATAATAGACACTGTCTGTTCACTTTGATATCATTAAGAAAAATGAGCTCATAACTTTAAACCTGATATGCCAAGGTAAACATTTGCTTGGAATGAACTTTTATATTACAAAAAATTCCAATAAACTTTCAGTCTTCGTTAGATAGATAGTCTTTACGTATCATGTAAATACGTGTATACAACATAACGCTTTTGATACAAGTACGGCTTAGCAAAATATCTCTTTTGATGAGGTAGTGTTAAAGATTCATACTCAAATTTGTAAAAACATAATTACTTTCTTTTTTTTTTCAGTTCGTATGCATGGGAGGAACGCCGAAACGTATGGAAGACTTCGCACACTACATAATGCAAGAAATAGGATACAAAATACCTACCGGCACAAAGCTGATGGACATAAGTCAGTACTCTTACAGGTACTGCTTGTACAAAGTCGGTCCTGTACTTTCCGTTAGTGTAAGTTTTGACATTTAAAGAACTAGGGTAATAATTATCAACTTAGAGGAGCTTAGTCCATGTCATTCGTATTTGTCACTCGCATGTAAATTCATGTGTAAAAAATCCTTGGAAGAATTTATTCTGAATTCTGTTTACCTAAAAGCGGCAGTTGAACTACTCTTAGTGGACAGGATTCATCCCCATATTGTAATAGGTTTTTTAACAGCGCAGCAACAGACAGTGTCCAGTGACCTTCTTTGGCCAGTACCAGCAAATTCTAATAGATTAGCAGGTTTATATTGCGTTGCTTGTCGGCAAAATTGCGTAGTTTTAGTAAATTCTTTTGGCTCATTTGTCTACCAACGCCTATCAATGTATCAAAATAATAATAATTACCGGTGGAAACATATTCCTTGACTAGGCTTGTGCCGCTCATTGAAACTTATGTAAGAAGTCTTGAAATCGTCTTACACCACAATTATCTGCAAACACTCGTAGTTTTTTAAGACTTTAATGACAGAACTCGATAATTTGAGTTTTAGCTAACTTACGAAAAAATTGAGTTTTACTTTTTTTAGGATAGTCCAATGACCAAAAAGATGCATATAAAAATTTCCAGTATCAAACATTGAGAATCTGACATATCCCCAAACTTTGCTAAAAAACAATAATAATACTAATACATGTCTTTATTAGCAACACAACAATAGAATAAATACATCGATCTGGCTTTCAACTAAGTGAGCTAATAATAAAGGGAAAAAATTTCAATCAATAAATTGATAAATCCGCGCTATATTGGTTTACCAAAAAGGAACCAGTTAAGAACCAATACTGAACGGATGACTACACAAAAAAAACATAAAGATAATAACAACTAATTATGATACATCTAACAGCTGATTCTTAACCAGCTTCTTGAATGTTACTCCACTTTTGCTTCTCCAGGCAGGGTCGATTGAGTTGTATAACCTCACAGCATTAAAAGTGAAACATTGTTGAAACAACGCGGTGTAGTGCAAAGGAATTGTCAGATTATTATTATGCCTCAGATCATTAAGATTAATGAATCCTCTAGTTACCAATTTACTATGGAGGTAGATGGGCTTTTTATATTTATACCTTAAGACTATATTCAAATTGTCGATCCATTTTCAGCCATTTTAACTCCTTGATCTTAGAGGAGACATGACTATATTTTCGAAGACCATACACAAACCTACAGCAGTTGTTTTGCATTCTTTGGATCCTACGCCGATTCGTCAAGTCAAGACAAGGATAGTATAAGGTTAAAGCGTAGTTGAGGCTGGACATTATCAAACTTTCAACTAGCTTCTTACGCATTTTAAAGTTTACAATGAATATATTAGCGTATAGCAGTCTTAATTTGATATAAGTGGACTTCGATAGATGACACACATGCTTGTCAAATCTTAAACTAGAGTCGAAGATGATACCACGATTTTTGCTTGTTCCACAATAGGAATGAGCTCGTTATTGATGCTCAATGCAATTCTGTCCCTTACTCTATTATGCAAATGTTAAGATAAAAATGTATGCAAGTGCTCTTATCCAGATTAATCTTCAACATGTGTCTTTTACAAAAATCAGTGATGTTCGCAAGATCACAATTTATCTTATATGACACTTCATCCAGATGAGACAAGTCAAAATGAAAAGAAAGCTGCGTATCATCCGCGTAAGTTTCTATAGCACAATGCTCAATACATGAATGTAAATCAAAAGTATATATCAAATACAGTAAAGGATCTAAGACAGAGTCCTGAGAGACACCTGAAGAAACGGCAACAGAAGATGAGACACCTCTAACTGCCTTTACCTTTTGTTTACGATTACTTAAGTAATATTCAAAAATTTAAGTCAGATAGTCCAATATACGTTAACTTACTCAACAAAATGTTATGGTTAACAGTGTCGAATGCCTTAGAGAAGTCGACCATAACTAAGACTGTATTAATATGTTTATCCGTATTATTTAAGATATTGTCTGTGAAATGGAGAAGTGAAGAAGTTGTACTGTGTCCAGTACGAAATTCAGACTGATGGACAGGAAGTAAATTACTCATCTCTAAATATTCAATTAGCTGGAGATAAACAGCTTTTTCTAATACCTTTGAAAAGAAACACAGTATGCTGACGGGTCGTAAATGATCAAGAGTTGTGGGACTTTTTACTTTGGCTAGAGGAAGAATAATTGCTTCTTTCCAGACATTTGGAAAGCTCCCAGTTTCCAAACAATATGAGTTAGTTACTGAAGTACTTCAGGTAAACAAGGACCAAACATGTCCACACCAATACAATCACAGGCTGTTGCAGTCGACTTTATAGATACAGAAATATCTAGGATCTCCTGAACACTTACAGGTCTGAACACAGATAGCGCTAAATTAGCATCGAATAAATTCTGTTGATAAAATTCAGCTGTAGCATCAATTAAACGGGAATGGGTATGGGTATTTTGAAAAGTTAATAAAAAGTGGTCATTAACTTCTTTTGGTACTAATAAATTTAATTGAAGCTCAGTATGTTTCTGAGGACAAACGTTCATCATCTTAAGTTGATCCCAGGCTTTCTTCGAATTTAATTGATCAAACCGTGACAGATAGGCCTTTTTTTCGCGTCTAAGAGAGGCAAGTGCGAAATTCCTCATATCTTTATAAATTATAAAATTACAATCGGAAGGATTCTGGTAAAATGTAGCTAAAGCTTTATCCCATTCATTGAAAATGGCTTTCAGGTTCATGAGAGGCTTTCAAATGTTAGCCAAGGGGCAGATTTCTTTGTGACGCGCGCTGTCCGAACTGGGCAATATGCATATTTTTGTAATCCCTGTAAGTCACAAATTTATCTTCTGCGTGTTTGATTCCTACATTTAACTCGCAAAAAACTAATCTATGATCAGAAATGAAGTCAGCATTCATTGTACCAGAATTCAAAACGCTATTTATAGAAATTAAAACAACCGCTGAGGGCATTGCTGGGATCCACCAAATCTACATTCATGTCATCCAAGATGATTATACAGGGTGGTCCATAAGTCCTTTGAAATTTCAAATTTGAATAAGATTTAACGGGTGAGCGTGAGCGGCGCGGGCGAGGTGGGGGCAGTATCTTCAGTGTCTGGGAATTCAGTCGCCATGGAGTGTTTCACTGGAGCGGATTGTGCTTTTTGTGTGCGCGCGTTTTATCAAAATAATGATTCGGCAACCATTGCGCGGCGTAAATATCGAGAATACCACAATTTACACAATTTTACAAAGTGTCCAACAGCTCAAACGATTAAGAACTGGGTTGCTAAGTTCGAAGAGACTGGTTCGACGTTAGATAAACAGCGGTGGGGTCGACCAAGGACAACTCGTATTGAAGAAAACATCAACATTGTGGCACAGTCTGTTCGTCAAAATCCTACCCAGTCTACTCGTAAGCGTTCCAGTGCACTAAACGTACCCAGAACATCTTACAACGGATTTTAAGGAAAGATTTACGTCTGCACGCTTACAATATTCAGTTAGTGCAGGAATTAAAAGATAATGACGCTATTCAGAGACTAAACTTTGCGAATGAAATGTTGAATCGATTTTCTTCGCTCAATAATGTGTTGTTCTCGGACGAGGCTCACTTCCATTTAAACGGGCATGTAAATAAACAAAATTGCCGTTATTGGAGCCCCGAAAATCCAAGGCGTAAGCATCAGAACCCCTTACACAGTCCTAAAGTTACAGTTTGGGCTGCTATGTCAGCGCATGGCAGCGTAGGCCCTTATTTTTTTGAGGACGACAGAGGTCGCGCATTAACTGTTACTTCGGAGCGGTATGTAGCAATGATAGAAGAGTTTTTGACACCAGCGTTGCAGAATTTTCCAGGCTATAATACGCAGACCTGGTTTCAACAGGACGGAGCAACTGCCCACACCTCCAACACTTCTATGCCCGTCGTCTGTCAACTTTTTCCCAGCAAAGTAATTTCTCGAAGAGGAGACATTTCCTGGCCACCACGTAGTCCAGATTTGACCCCAATGGACTTTTTTTTATGGGGCTACCTCAAGAGTAAAGTGTACGACACCACTCCGCGATCAGTTGATGTCCTGAAAGAAAATATCCGAAGAGAAATGGCAAGCATTACAGTGTTGACTTGCCGCGCAGTCATCGACAATTTTAGACGTCGTTTATATGAGTGCCGTGATCGTAATGGATTGCATTTAGACGATGTGATTTTTAAAACATAATTCCCATTCAATAAAGGTGATAACAAAATATAATAATTCTTCATAATGTAACTAGTTTGGTTTTATTCCTTTTTTTCCAGCTCAAAGGACTTATGGGCCACCCTGTATTATCAAATTGTGGCAAGAAAAAAGAGATAAAATTATCAATTTGACTAATGCATTGATTAACTGGACAATGAGGAGATCTGTAAGCCACAATAAATAAACAACTAGAGGAACCAAATTTGCACTTACAACACAGTACCTCAAGCATGCAATTACCCAAGAGGTTCACTTCAACTGGTCTAAAATTGATACTTGTTTAAAATAAAGACCAACTCCTCCGCCCCACCCTAGTAGCCTATCCTTACGGAAAAAATTATAGCCATTCATATTCACACAATCATCGGGTATATTTGCAGATAGCCAAGTCTCGGTAACAGCTATTATATCAAATTTGCTTTGCACCATCCAGGAAAACTCGTCAAAAGAAGCTGCGAGGGATCGCACATTCAAATGGCAAATCATTAAGGTGTCATTCATAGTTCACACGCTGTTGAAGGTTTTGACATATGCCCGAAACACAGGACAACAAGGAAAGTTAGTGGAATGATCCAACGGAAAATTCTTTTTATATAATTTATTACATTGCAATGCCTCAGATTAGCATTCCTTTACTTACGCTGTATAAGTGGATACATCGAACCCTGTACGTGTTCTCAAAGAGTTAATCAAGATACTCCCGAAAATCGCAGCTCGATATTCCTTTCCGAAAATATCGAGATTTGAATTTGGGTAAAATTTTCTGTGTTGCACGGTCTACCATTTAGTAGATCTACCAGGTGCAGCACTGCCAGTATGACAGAAGACATAGGTCGGGTGGCTCAAGTGTGAAAAATGTTGCGATTGACAAGTGTAAAAGGAAGCTGAATGACAACAAAACTAAGCATGTAGAAGATGCTAACTAACATCGAGTTCTTATTTCCAGCACGGTATGGGTCCTTCGTCAATCTCCATTTTACTTCACGAGATCATCAAACTCATGTACCACGCCAAATGCAAAGACCCCATCTTCTTCAGGATTGGAACATGCGGAGGAATCGGTATAGAAGGTGGAACTGTTGTTATATCTGATAATGCCTTAGATGGGTTGCAGGATAACAACTATGCCGTAGTAAGTATAATTTTCACCAATATTTCCTCCTTTAACGCTACAGGGTGTTTCAAGTTCGACTCTCACCCTTTGGATCTCGGAAACTGTAAGAGATACGAACTCGCTTAATTGGGGGCAAAGTTGCGTATTTAGGTAATCAGCAAAATACCGCTAGAAGGTTTTAAATTTTTTTCCTGACTTTATTTGTAGTGGGATTTCACTTTTGCTCTACATGGTAGCATAATTAGAATTTCGACATGTTTCATCCTCCAGCATCAACTTTATTTTTTCTTATGGACGCCTTATTCGATTTTTACACAGATCAATAAAGTTTTTAATTCTAATTTCAAAAATGTATAACATGTCACACATTGACATTACCAAAACTTTGGAAGACTGAGAAGAAAAGAAATGAATCGAGCAGTGGACAATCTAGACTTTGCCTACAAAATAACGGACAACATTTTGATCTGCTATGATTCACATCACTTATTTATTGTTATTATTATGAATAAAATTCCCTATAATTTTCATCCAACAACCAACAAGGAAATACATCACTGAATTTAGGAATCAAAAGTCCATTTAAATCTACAAAATCTGATAGAAATCTGTAAGTTGAGTTGGTGGTTTTAAATCTAATTCTTATACAGCAACATCTGGAGTGCCCCAAATAACCAATTTGGGTCCTTTGTTTTTTGTATTGTTTATCAATGATCTGTCGTTGGAATTGCCTGGTATGCATTTACTTTATGCTGATGACTTAAAGATTTATACTGCTATTCAGAGCTATCACGACTGTATCTCTCTTCAAAACAGCTTGAACTTGGTGCATTCTTGGTGTTCCAGAAACTCTCTTACGATTAATGTGTCAAAGTGTAAATTTATGTCTTTTAGTAGGAAGCAAAATGTAATACATTATGATTATAGTATCAATGATCACTTATTCGAACGAACAGAAACGTTCAAAGATTTGGGTGTTGTATTCGATGTCAAGCTGACATTCAAGGATCACATCACTCAAATGGTGAATTCAGCGTTTAAGATGCTAGGCTTTTTTGTAAGGAATTGGTCAGGGTTTTCAAACATATCAACTCTAAAGCTTTTATATTTTACATTAATAGAGGTAAGCTGGAATACGCTTCATCAATTTTGTCTCCAATCTACAACAATTCAAGGGTTCAGTATTGAATATGCGCAGCGTAAGGCTTTAAAGTATTTGTATTACAAATGTTATGGCAATTATCCTGAAAGAGGTTTCGACCATTCTATTTTATTAAACATTTTTGATACAGGGTCATTGCATCTTAGGCCCGTATCGTCAGTCGTCCCTACAATTGTAGGGCGCATTTATGGCCTCCTTGATTGTCATACTTAGTTCTCTTCTAGATTGCACGTGTCCCGTGTCAGCGACAGCGCTCTCCTATTGTGAAGATATGTTTTCTTTTTATATTGTACGAAATTCCAGGCTGATAAAACATGATATAACTCAGAAGCAAGCACAATTTGATGCAAATAGATGTTTGTGTCATAACCTCAAAATAGAGCGCTGATGTGGAGAAGTAGAAAACTATGACAATCAAGGAGCCCATAAAGGCGCCCTACAATAGTAGGGACGACTGACGATACGGGCCTTAGACGCGACATATCAGCGCTACATCTTTTGTACAAAATCATACACAATCAAGTTGATTGTTCATTCATATTAAGTAAGCTCAATTTTCGTGTGCCTAGGTTGGGAAATCGTGTTCAAATCACTTTCTATCCGGTTATTGGTAATACTAATTTAATGTCTAGATCTCCGGTAACTATGATTTGTACATGTTTCACTTCTGTTTGCAGTTACTGTGACTTATTTTTTGATAGTGAGAACTTTGTTATGAAGTGCTACAGAGACTGGTACCTTTGTCAGGGAGAGTTTGTTTTCTCTTTTTTTAAGTTTTTTTTGTTTGGCGTTACCGCTGTTGCTAATCATGTAACTTTTTCTTGTATTCTTTCTGTAATTGGGTGATACCTGTTGGGAATAAATGAATAAATAAATAAATATAGCGTCCATATGAATAAACAAAGTCGAAAGAAGATATATCGAATTCAAAATTTGACTGCGCCATCTTGTAGTGGAGAATAAGTGACAGTGACAACATGCAATTTATTTTAAAATTTCATCTCAAATAAGGTTGGAAGAAAAAATTAAAAAAAAAAATGTTTGGAATGAATCTGGTATGCCAAACAAATGACTATCTGATAATTTAATGGCCTACCTAGGAAATTCTGCTTTTCTAAAGTAACTACGCTTCAGACAGTAACTAATGGGCAAAGGTCCTACGGACCGCCCAGACAAATAAATGACGAATAGTAGTAACTACGCTTTGGCAATGTCAATTAATGACGTATTATATATTTTTGAAATAAGAATTCATCTGCACAAAAAACCAATATGGCGTCCATAAAAAATAAAGATCATGCTAGATGACAAGAGATGAAACGTCATATTGAAATTCTAATTTTGCTATCCTGTAAAGTAAAACAAGTGGCAATCTTAATGTGCAATTTGTTTTAAGATCCCAATACAAATAAAGTCAGGAAAAAATTAAAACGATCGTGGGAAATTCGATTTTTTCCGTTTCTCTTCGGAAATCCCAACTTTGCCCCCAGTTAAGCGATTTCGTATCTTACAGTTTCCGAGATTCTAATGGCGTGGGTCGAATTTAAAACACCCTGTATAGTTTTCTGTTCTTCTCCCCATTGAGATCGCCTTTATCTACTTTCACTGGCCCCTTATGTTAAAGGCTTAAGGCTTTCGTCCGTTGTCTCAAGCCCTATATTATACTGACAATTCCTAGTAAAGATGGAACAGCGTGAACGATTTGAAACGAGAAGTGAAAAGCTATTCATATGTAATTTTTTTACAGGCAACATTGGGTAAATTAGTAAAACGCCCAGCAAGGTTGGATAAAAAGCTAGTCAGAGAACTGCAGGCCTTAGCTCATTCTGACGATCCGTATGATACTGTCACAGGTACAACGATGTGTACCTCAGACTTTTATGAAGGTATGTCAATAAATATACAATACTCAATAAGGGTATCAAATTGGAAGAGGTTGCATTACCCATTGTACGCCCCTGTTTTCGCAGTATGTCTTTGTATATATGATTTCTATTCCCGATCCAAACAGCAAAGGCACCCTAGTTGGTGTTATAGATGAAACGTAATAAATTTAATATTATTTCTTTAGCTTAGATGTGTACTATAGGTTCCCGATGTTCTAAGACTTCCATTAACTGAAACGGTCTTCAAAACGCTATTTTTCATAAACAGGTTTTGATAATAGTGCGTTAATTTTCTGAGAAATTGAATATCGTAACGCCAAATTTAAACGGGTAATATAAATATGAATGTATGGCAAAAAGGAGAATTACTCATATAAGGTTTTTGTTAGTCTTTATTTACGTAAGCAAAAATATTCATTCATATGTAAGCACATTTGAAAATCAAATTAATGCAAACGATGCATAAAAGAAACATAAAAAATATAACAAATTCTTGTACAGTTTAGCGAACTAATGTTAAAATGTTGAAATTTAATATAATAGTTGACTAACTTAATCATCAGAATGTAAGACTAGAGAATCAAGCGAGGCATTATTCGAGGGGTTACCGTGGCCACTTCCTGGCTTCATCATAAGATCATCTCTACGTCATAATAACATGACATTGTCAATTGTCATATTAAACGTCCGACATATTAGATTAGAATGACGTCACTCTGCGTATTGTGTTTCTGTCATAAATTCCTTTCATTTGATATCCATAATGGGGGGGTGGTTATGGAAATTATTAATCGGTATTTTGCGGCGGGTGCCATATTGGATCCATAATGACGCTAGGTTGCTTACTGTGTCTCTCTCAGCAAACCCTTTCAGTCGATAACCATATCATAAGGGTCTGATGCAACTGTAGATAGATTCTATTGTGTATTAATAAAATAAATAATAATTAAAAATGAGTTTCAAAACTCACAACTTATATTCGAACGTGTCGAACGAGTCGAACGTGTGTGTTGTATTACTCCTGTTGAAGTGCATGTTTGTGAGGTACAACAGCATTGAAAATTACCAATCTTGCATCAAATCCATAGCAGACACTACCAACTACACTACCTACAAAAAAACCAGGTATTTTAGCATGTAAGAACAAAATAGTAGATGCAAACGCACGTGCACAACAATATCGCAAAAAGAAATAATAGTAATAGACCAGTAGACTCACGCACAATTTCGAGGAGCGTTATGATTGAAGAAGTTAATGATATCTCAAATAAACAAATCTACGACCTACTGCACAGTATATTAGCAAAAAATACTCAAATAGAGCAAGATATCCATAACAATAAAGAAGAGATCAAGAAGGAAATCCAAATTTTAAGACAAGACATCACGACAGAGCTATATAACCTAGAAAGAGAAAACAAAAAGTTAAAAGAAAAAATCGACAAGTTAGAAGAAGAACTGAATAGTACAGAACGCCAAGTGAAAAAGTATAACGTAATATTTTATGGAGTGAAAGAAGCTGGAGATACAGTTACTGACTTGGACAGTATTTTGAAAATATTCAATGAAAAGCTGGAAGTTAAATGTAGCCTTGCTGATTTCCGGGATATACACAGAATAGGGAGGAAGCAAGAAAACCAAATCAGACCGGTTGTCGCCGAAGTAATAAATTATCAACTAAAGAAAGTAAGCCTGGAGAATTCGAAGAAGCTGAAAGATACTGGAATATATTTAAGTTTGGATTACACAAAACAAGATTATCAACAAAGAAAAATATTGTATACAAACTTGAAGGTGGCTAAAAGTGCTGGACTGGAAGCGAAAATACACAACCATACACTTCACATAGGAGAGGACATCTTTACTTCTGACGATTTATCACATGGGACTCCCGATGTTTTAACGGCGGCAATTCTGAAGCTGAATGTAGAACCTCAAAATACAGGAGAAAATTCAAGAAACTCTTTGAAAAGAAAAAACATTGTCGAGGAAAAACCCAAGAGATCCACCAGAATCAAGAGCACCAGTAAATAAAGAAATATTATTTTTATCCATCACGAGTATATTTTACTAATACCGGTTGTTCTTCAGCTCATTGATAGCCCAATCTTTTGAATGTTTCAATTTTGTCATTTTGGTATATTTTTGACACTTTCAGCATGTACCGATTATTTATACTACTTATAGAATATATGGTATTTATTTACTTTTCATCCATTGCCAAATGTAAGCATTAACCGTTGATCTCAATTTTGTCCTTATTACCAGTGTGTGACTGTTAAATCTAAACAGTAAACAAGTTTTTATGGTACTATTCTCATCTCATCGCCTTCCTATACCTAGTTTTATTGATTTATTATTCTGTTCTGTTTATCCGGGTGTTTTTATTAGTATTGCATATAATTGTTGCGTTGTCTTTATTCTGTATAGATCTAATATATTTATCATGTGGTTATACTCATTTTACTGGCAAAATACGTTGGGTGCTCTTTAAGAATAAGCCTTCGCCAGATGTTTTCAATATGTCTAGACGTCTAAAATTCATGAGCTTCAACGTAAGGTCAATTCAGTCTGGTTTTCTAACTTTGAAGGAGTATGTTGTTGACTGTGCTGTCGATGTCCTGGGTCTCAGTGAGACTTGGCTAACCCCAGATATTGATTCCTCCTCAGTATTTATCAACGACTTCAATGTCGTTAGAGCAGATCGAAATAGCAGAGGCGGGGGCGTCGCGTTTTATGTGAGAAATGGTATTGCGTTCAAAATATTGCACTCTAATATCACCGCAGTATTGGAAGAACTTTGGATCTCTGTAAAGGTTAATCAACGCAAATATTGTCTAGCTATAGTCTACCGTCCACCATCGGCAAATGTGCTTGACTGTTTTCATCAATTAACTGAGTCTTTAACCAACCTTTCACTCGATAATGATTACGCAATTGTCATGGGCGATTTTAATATTAATGTTTTAGTGAACGACGGCCGATCCGAGATGCTGAACTGTTTTCTTGAGTCTTTTGATCTGTCTCAGTTAGTGAAAGAGCCCACACGTATAACTTCCAATAGCCAGACAGCTATAGACTTGCTCATGGTTAGCTCTGCTGATATAATAAGTGGTTATGAAGTTGTTGACGTAGATGGAATATCTGACCATCTAGCCCTAATATTTTATGTAGATGCATCGGAGATAAGCAACCTATGTAAACTGAGGACATATCGTGATTACTCTACCTTTAGCCTAGACAATTTCTACCATGATTTACTTTTAATAAACTGGGATTTTATATATACGTTGAGAGATGTGGATCAAATGATTGACTTCCTGAGCTCTAATATCTTGTGCACCTTCAACTTGCATGCTCCTGTCAGAAACATTCGAGTTACCAAGCCACCAGCTCCTTGGCGAACATTCAACATAAAACTCATGATGCGAACAAAAAGTGACGCATATAAAAAATTTAAACGTACAGGAACGATTGCTGCCTGGGAATTCTATAAGAAAATCAGAAATTATGTTTCTAGTGCTATTAGGCGAGAGAAAAAAGCCTACCTCGATTATGTTATGAGACATAAAAATTCGAAGACTACACGGAATATACTTAGATCTTTGAATATCGTTAAACATAACTCCATAAGTCTACCTCCACATCTTCAGGATCTCGATTCATTAAATAGTGCTTTTTTAAACGTACCTCAAACAACCAAATCATTAACTCAATTGAACCTTTTAGACAAATATGAAAACGTCAAGAATAGTGGTACTTTTCTGTTCACGACAGTTTCCCCTGCCACTGTAGAGAAATTTATTAATCGCATCAAAAGTCATGCTAAAGGCTCAGATGGCATCACAATTGATATGATCCGTATAATACAAAAGCATTTGCTCAAGTATATTACCTTCATTATTAACTTTTGTATAACAAATAATCTTTATCCCTCTTCCTGGAAGAATGCTCTTGTTCTCCCTCTGCCTAAATCTAATTATCCTTCAAGTTTTTCTGATCTTCGTCCTATAAGCATTTTACCAAGTTTATCTAAGCTTTTGGAAATGGCTCTACATGAGCAGCTGCACACATTTGTTTGTCAAAATAATTTACTGACCACCTCCCAATCTGGCTTCAGACCATTACATAGCACCACCACTGCGCTCCTGTCTATATCGGATAATATTTATAGCGCGGTTGATCAAGGAAAGCTGTCCTGCTTAGTTCTTCTTGATTTTAGCAAGGCCTTCGATACGGTTGACCCAAATATTCTCTGTAAAAAGCTTAGATACTTTGGCCTGTCATCATCGGCTTGCACGCTGATTAAGAGCTTTTTAACTGATCGCTCACAGTCTGTCATATATGAAAACAATATATCAACTTCTTTATTCAGAAATTTTGGTGTCCCTCAAGGATCTATTTTGAGTCCCCTTTTATTTGCTCTTTATATATGTGATTTTCATGAAACCGCCAGCAACTCAATCGTTCATCATTACGCCGATGATACCCAACCTTATAACTGCTTCGATCCTGATGAATATATGCTTGGCCAACATCAAATAAATCAAGACCTGCAGTCTATTTTTGACATATCTAGTGCTCACAATCTAAAACTAAATCCTGGCAAATCATGCTGCATTTTATTTGGGCCCAAAAAGAATCGTGAAATAAATCAATATCGCATTAATATTATGGTGAATAATGAAGACATATCCTTCGTAAACGAATGCAAAAACCTTGGTATCTGGTTTGACTGCAAGCTACGCTTCACTAAACATGTTAACCAACTATGCAATGCGTCCTATAATGTGCTTCGTCAGTTATACCCGAGTCGAAGTGTCCTGTCGACACAGCTCAAGCTTAAACTCTGCGAGTCCCTTATCCTGTCAAAATTATCTTACGGTGACTCTGTTTATGGACCTGCTCTTTTACAACGTGATGCCGAGCGGATTCAGATGATACAAAACTCATGCATCAGATTTTCTTATGGAATCCGTAAATTTGATCATATTAGTAGCGCTTTTGACCAATCGGGATGGTTTAAGATGAACAAATTGAGGAAACTGCATTGCCTATCTTTGGTACATAAGACCCTTATCCTTAAAGCGCCATATTATCTTTATACAAAACTAAGCCTCCTCTGCCAGTAGGATCAAAGATCCTCTAGGAATAAACTCATCTTACTTATCCCGCGGCATTCGACAGCATTGTTCACACGCAGTTTCTCGTACTGGGCACCCAAACTATATAACTGCTTATCAAGTGAGTATAAAGAATATAGCCTAAGCAATTTTAAAAAAAGGTTAAAGATGAGTTTAAAGCAGTCGGATGGCTAAAATTTTACTTTATGCATATCCACAGGTAATTGATTGTTTCCTTTCTCTGATAAGTGTTATATTCTAAGTTTTTTTTCTCTCTCTCTCTATAGTTTGTGTCAATGTTTTCCAGGTCGGGTTGAAAAACAGCATAAGCTGACACTCCACCTTTTCGTCACTGTTCCTTTTAAATCAATTATTTTGTAATCGTGTGACGAATAAAGGCCATTTATTATTATTATTATTATTAAAACTGAGACATCCTAGAGCATTCGAGCGGTTGTTTTTTGTAGATCAACAAACGACGGATTTTAATAAGAATTTAGACTTTGGCATGACTTTTATGTAAGTTTTTCGCCACCTGAAGGTGAAATATTAAAACGACTAATTCTGAGTGTCTTACAACAAATCTTGTTCAAAAAAGTTAATATTTGTAGAAAGGGCACGGCATTAACTGAATATAAGCAACTTTAAAAAAAATAATGCTGAAAATCTCGAAAACTATGACCTTTAATAAAACAAAATTTACCATCTAGTAGGCCATGACAGTTGCAGGATTATCCTTCAATTTTGGGATACCCTGTATATAGATTGCTTTTATTAAAGCTGAATTAAAATTAAATTTTGACTAATCCCAGTAATTTCTCATGATACCTTGGCTCAGCTTGGGGAGAACTCGGTACATGAACAACTTTGTCATAGTTTATTTTTATAAAAAAAAATCCACTTCATTTAATTTACTGAGAAAAGTGGATGCTTTCAATGAAAACTGAGTAAAAGTGAGATGGGTCGGAAAAAGTGAGAAAAAGCGAGAAAAATGAGTTGCTAGTATCCCTGAAATTTATATAATAAGCGACTTGACGTCTGGTACATGGGGCCTGTAAAGTTAGTAAGCTATCAACATACTCGTTTCCATTGTTTCTCAGCAGTAGAAGATACAGTACAGCGGCCTTCATGCTCTGTCGTACCATCCATTTTATACAGGATTCCACAATTTCTTAAGGCCCTGAGTTTTTGTCTATGTCAATAGGATTAGAAAATAAGAAATACTATAGATGCACCAATCACCTAGTTGAGTGGCTCATGCTATGATACCATCTTCCAATTTGATGTTTGCCTATTCAGTATTAAGTCCAATACTATTAATTTTTCGTACTCGTATACACATATATTAATAAAATTAAACATAAATGGAAAATTCATAGCTTTTGCTGATGATACCACAATACTTTGGAAACACACATATATAAAACTTAAAATAATGAGTGTCGTCATTGTCCGGGACCTTAAAATCTTTCTAATATTTAAATCATATTGTACCCTATGTCAGTTCTAGAATCCAGCTGCTTCCGATCCACATACTCGTATGCAATTATGTTATAGTTTAGTTTTCAGTTAGCTTTGTCAATAAGAATCATTTTAATCTTCAGACAATAAAGCATATGTATCAATCTATCTACAACCAGAGTCAAAAAATGGTGTGAGAATTACTTAACTTGCAATGTTAATAAGACAAAATTTGTGACATTAAATGCTACCTTGTTTTTATACAATCAAATAATGAATTGATACACAAAACGGACACCGTTACATTTTTGGTACTGCCCATTGATTCCGAACTAGCTTTTACTAATTATGTAGACAAATGTCTTACCCAACTCGCAAATATTTCCTTTATTAACAATTAGTCACAAAGTAGGGAAACGCACAGCCTTAAGTAGTTACTTTGCCTTAACATATATAATTAAGAGCTAGCTACATGCTGGTCTCTATCGATAAATCTTAAAACAACGACTGTCACATCATACTGTTGATTTTAGAAACAGCAATACTTATTTTTAAAAATAAGCCTGAATTTGAAACATTAAATATAAGTTACACGTGTCAAACACTCAATAATGTCTAATGATCTGAAAATGTACGTGTCTCCCAGATGCTATCAAAGAAACTAACAATTTAAAGATATTTCACCATTAACTTGAATATGTGAACCATATTATACGAATTAATTTACTTAAGATCCACATTTGCGATTATGTTATAGTTTAAAGTTAGCTTTGTCGTTAAAAATAATTGTATTCTTCAGACAATACAGCATAATGACCATTCCGTCGACTTGTATTTATGTATTCATACAATAAATAATTTAATATTATATGTTTACCATGCCTCTGAACGCTGGTCTATCGATGATCATATTTCTTTAGTTCTTGATATCTATTAAGATATTTGTTTACTTTTAGGTCAAGGGAGGCTTGACGGTGCCTTCTGCGAATACACGGAGGCTGACAAGATGGCATTTTTGAAAAACTTGAAAGAAAAACACAATGTGACAAACATAGAGATGGAAATTATTCCATTTGCTGCTTTGACCCACCATGCTGGAATCAGGGCTGCTGTAGTTTGCGTGGCGCTTTTGGATAGACTCAGGGGCGACCAGGTAAAATAACCGTTGCATTAGTGTTCAATCACGTATTTCAGAATATGCAGTGCTTTTCAAAAAGCAACCCCCCCATACTTTAGTTATCGAGCTGAAATTCGGGATGATGAAATTGATGCTTGGATACAACATTTTAGCGTGAAAGAGATAGTAACGAAAAATTGAAGATGGTGGCTGTACTTGATAACCCTAGAATATAAAGTCATTATCTTTCAAAATAGTGGACTGGCGAGCTGTCAAAGCTGAGGGTTTTTGCTCATTCAATCGCTTTGTGACTCAATAACCAATCACCATAAACCATAATGGTATAGTATATTTTGAAAAATAGTACATAAGGATTCATTAGAGAATATTGACAATGAGCTTCAAGTTGGCGCCCAGCCGTTATATTTGCGTCAAAATGCAGTATTGATGCATCAATTCCATAACCCCATATTTCAACTTGCTAACATGATCCTCGGCTATTATGGAAAACCCATCACAAAATAAATTTCTATACAATTTAAATGATTGGTAATAAAAAATAATGTAATAACCATTCACTTTCATTCCTGTCTGTAGCATATTTTGTCACCTGTTATGTCATCTCCCTCATTTTTTAAATTCAGCAAATTTGCATATGTAATTTCAATGAATAAGAAAAAGTGGATGTACTGTCGTTTACTTCCAGCTATAGTCTGTAGTGTACAACTTGCAGCTTAGACCTCCAATAAAGCAGATTTTACATCACATCGGAGCCAAACATTGATAGTTGAATCATCATGTCGTTTAGGCAACACGTACGGCTACAGAACGAGTTCACAAGTGTCCATCAGCTAGTGCTAACTCAACATCTTGTAGAAAAACCTACGTTATGTAAAAAGACAATATAATTGTCAAAAAAATCCGACATAGTATCACTTTTCAAGATAGATAATACCCGTGCCGTTCAAAAACAAATATGGGGGACATCAATGGAAAGTACTGTATAAGGTATAAGCAATACACCTAGAAAATCTGAGAAAGAGTGCTGGTGGGGTTCTTACCCATAGCTTCTGGTACTCCAGCCATGTCCACGCTACAGTGGTTGTAATTCTTAGGAGGCGATTTCAGACTGCAGATAGGTTATATTCAGAAGTATTATAGGACCCAATCTCTACAGGAACCTCGCTGGGGCTTTTGTCACCTTATCTCCTTTTGTTTTGACTTATTTTTCATATTTTCGCTTTAGATTGGTATACCAAAGGATGTGATGCAGGAGTGGCAGCTACGACCTCAAGTGCTAGTAGCACGTTATATCAAGAAGACTCTTGGGATAAATTGAAGTATTGAACAAAACAGAAACAATGAAATCGGCGATAAAAAATGAATAGTTGAGCGACAAGCGTTTCCCGTAAGAGATTAGCCAACATTGAGCTTTATATTGGTGGAAAAGAGCTTGTGTTCGCAAAGATGGGTTACAAATAAACACTGCATTTTTTTAGTCTTTCAGGTTTTCGTTCACATAACTCGAGGTATGATAAAGGAAAAAAATCTATAACGCTGATAGTTTTCGGGATATGAGCGATTTAATATTTAAACAAGTTAGTCATGTCATTTTCGACTCCGAAAGATATAAGAAAACGACGTTTTTAATATTGTCAAGACAACTAAATGTTTTTCAAACATCCATAGGAAAATTCCAAAGCATTTTAGTAGATATTTTAGTTGTGAACCTTTGTCTTTTAATTGTTAATCACACGCGCGCTCTTTGTATACGCGCTTTTTTAACTGGGCACCGGCAATGAAAATTTCATGTTCTAATGCATTCTCATGTGCTATTAAGAAATTGAAGGTGATAATTAAGGTCAAATCGAAGGTCACTAGTGTTGCGAAAACTTACATATTGTCTGATGTTTATTTTTTCGTTATCCTATATCCTTTTCTATAGTTGTAGTTACCGTTCTTGGCGGTTACGTCATCAACGCCATATGAAATAAGTAAACAGATCGAGTCTCCGTACCATGGGCGGATCTTAATTTTCCTAACTGGGGGAAACCGATTTAAAGTTATTTACTAATCGTAATTCTCAAAAACCTATGACACGCCATTTAATGTTTTCTAAAGTTGAAATAAAAAATACATACGAAATTTACAATAAAATGTAAAATAACATCTATTTGCTAACTTGATGGAGCATTTAACATTGGATGTGGATATGTGACAAGCTTATGAGAGCTTTAGAAGAACCATCTTCAATAATAAACATGCTCAATTTTTTCTGGAGTGAAATGCCAGTAAATAAATTACGGCTAGACAAAAAGTACATTTTGATGAAGCTTTTTAATATATGTCGCCTTAATAAAGATCAAGCTTGTAACTGCCATATCTATCAAAATATTTAACAATCTACATTAAGGTGCACACATAGAAAATTGAGAATTATAAATTTACAAAATTGTTTTGATAAAAGTACGAAGGGGGAGCCGCAAAACTTGATGTCCATGTTCATGTAATATTTCGCCTATGACATATCTTGGAGCCGATGGTTTATTAAGGCGACATAGACACACAACTAAAAAACGTATGTCTTTGAGCTTATCGAACAAACGTTCACACACAGCGGTAGTTTGCATGTGTTTGTATGAGGGAGATGGAGATATATAAAGGATACTGGTAGTCCTACTTTGACCCGCCAAGAACGGTGACTACAATTAACATTTGAACTTTAGAGGTGACCTTGACTTAGAATTTATTACACATTTAGGCTTGGAATTTTCCGTTCTTTCAATTGCCGGTGTCAAAAATGAAGCTGCCCATTTAAAAAATCTCGACCCTGAAATAACCCTAAGAGTGAGACTTAAGGTTAAATCTAAGGTCAACTCCTTGTTCAAAGTTAGCAAAGACCTAAGCTTAACCGTTTTCAGAAATACCTATCCCAAATAAAAATGAATACGAATCCGTTTTGACACTCTTGTTACACCTACATTACAGCATAAAACATTACATACAGCAAACGCAGCAAAGGTTCAACGTACGTGTCAGTGACGTCTCAGCTTATGCTTCCAAGGAAAAATTTTACTGGGGAAAAGAATTAAAAACAAGATTGAATATTTTGTTAAGTGGAAACAGCGCCTTAAGCTATAAGCGTGTTTGCCTAAGCCTTCAAGCTATCCCTAGCGAATTTTCATTCCTCAGACTACAGGCTAACAGGTTTATTTACTACACAGGTCGCAACTCCCAAAGAAGTAATGAACGAATGGCAGTTAAGACCTCAAATTCTCATCGCTCGCTACATAAAGAAATACCTGCAGAACAAAGGCCGCATCTCCTTCGATGGACACGGCTCGATTGCGGTGAAGAGTCCCAGAAGATTCAAACTCGTGCAGCAGGAATCGCAGAGCATCGAGTGAATATTGTTGAAACTTAGTTATATTTTTTTAATATCAGTTCATGTGATTGTTACGTACTTTGATAAATTTTCGTAAGTCTCGGTATTTTCACTAAGCAGGGGGGTGCCAGGGGGCCCTCAAGGATCAGCTTTTCAAAAAGTTTTTGGTACAGATACACTTCTGCTCTCAAAAAGCTTTGTGAGAGATACAGTTTTACGAAAGGTATATGTCCGGCCGCCCTGAGGAAAAGGCCTGCGGGCGCTCATGCACCGAACTCGTTCATCTACAGTCAAATTAATCCAAGTGATAGTTACAGGTATGCGTGAGTTTGTTATACTAACGTCGTAATTTTTTGGCATCTCAAATGACGTACATTTTTTCAAAAATAAGGACGTCATTTTTAAGACGTCTATTTTTCTAATCACAACGACGTTATTTTGAGAAGTCTATACGTCATTATGTGACGTTTATACGTCGTCTCACAAGACTTTGTGATGCCTGTAATGCTCAAAACTCAAGTCACTTCTGGTATTCTAATTACTGCGAGATTTTAACATTTTGTAAGCAAGCACAAACATTGGTTTCTCGTATCTGATTCATAGATGGTACAATATATTTCAATTATTTAAATAAAAAAACCATCAGACCTCAGAAAATCATTTTCTTAAAAAAACGTTATCCTTCAGTATGTCAGGGACGCACCAGCTCAAATAATGCACCTAGTTATATTCATGAACGCCCACAGTTGGGTGGAAGGAGGGCCGTGGTTCTCTCCCCTGAGAAACCGGTTGAACCATAAAATTCGCTTATTTTAGGATTTAGCCTTCTCTACCCCCCTAAAAAAAACTTGCTATCCCCCGCTCCTCAAAAAGTTGGGGATAGGGATCGGACTTCCCTAAGAAAAATTCTTACGGGCGTCCATGATTACATTAAAGTTAATTTTTAAAAACCACTTTTAGATCATTTAATTTGACTGCAAATGAATGGGCCACACCATTGAATGTTTCCATACAACAATTAAGTATTATATAACTTATTATGTATATGTGCATATTATAATAATGATCAAATGAAGCAATTAGGTATATCTTTTCATATTTATTTTTCTTATGTAATTATTGTACCGTGCGCTATCAAAGTATCGCCAGCGTTACATTACACTATTGCACAATGTCTAAAATGTTTGCTAGAAGTATAATTCCGATCTTATTATAAAAAAAAGTTACATCCAGACATATCATGGAGAGACTCTTCCGTTTTTATTTTTGTGTATGAAAAAGTGACCATCGTACCTACTCAAGAGAATTCCCTTTTAATTACTATATAGTTATATTAATTAATATTAAGTATTGACGTATCGTAAGGAGATGAGAGCCCAGAGTGCAGAAACATCAGTAGTTGGTAAACCGTTGCATTGCTGTTCAATTTAAAAACATCTACTGCCTTTAATGTCCCGTAATGTGCTTAACACCAAGATTGTCGTCTTAAAGAATCCACAATCAGATGGAATTTGCTACTATTAATCCTGTACTATTAACTCTTCCAAGCGAAACACACTACGGCGGCCACACACGTTGAGTGTTTCAAAGCGCAATAACCCAGGAATATTAGATATGCTTTGCTAATAAATCAGAATAAATTATTGAAGTCATTTTATGTGGAAACAAAAGCTTTTACGTGATCTATGTACCTCAACACCTATTTTTACCATCAAGAAACCTTTAAAACGTGTTTTGTTGTGGATATGCTTTGTAGGTAGCACCACTACATTTGTAGGAATCCCAAAAGGAATATAATTTCGGGATCTGCTTTTTGATATTGCCCTCCGTGAGATGCTAGGATAACAGTGTTGGTCAGTTTGAAATAGAACTGACTTCGAAACTGAAACTACCCTTGTGAAGGAATAAGTAGTATATGGTGAATCAAAATATATGAATCTACTAAATTTTAGGTTTCACATTGTTACCTGTCAAGTTAATATCTAAGCCGTAGGTTCAAGTTTGTATATAAATAGATATTAATTCAAATACAGTTCTTGGATTTTGTCAACTAGAATAGAACAAATCATATTTTAAGGAGCCACTGTTATTAGATCTCAAATTCAAAAGTTAGTAATTTTAACATTTCCAAATCAGAGAGCATGCAGTAGAGAATCACCAGACCATGTATATTGGAGGATGAAGATGTATTTAACAAAAATTTGGGAAGCGTAAACACAGAAACAAATGATTATCACGTATCAAGTAAATTCCGATATATTTTCTTATGTAGGCCACGTTTTGATCCAATTCTCGGAAACAGGTGATTTAAGGCTTCAACTGTTATATAAGCTAGTAATAGTCTTCGTATTCCTATTTGTGATATGTTGCCTCTTAATTGTGTAGCCTTGGATATTTCAGAGAACAGCCCCAACATCACATCGTAAGCCCTCTATTAGTCATAATAAATAATGAAATATATTTAAACAATCTTGAGAAATAATTTAGTTTCATTACCAAGCCCCAATAGCAAAGGTCTTTCCGAACCCCAAAATTGAACCATCTCACGTTGATATGTATTGTACTTATGAAAAACAGTGCTTCCAAGGCATTTTTACGATACATTGAAAAAACTAATATTTACACTGCCTAATGTGTGTGAAGAATATTTTTGGCAAAACTTGAGCAGTACTTTCACCTTAAGTACATGCAACCTATATAATATATTCTAAGCAGTGGATGTGTTATGATTTTCTAGCTTGGCAAAATTTACCTTTTAAACGAATAAGCATAAAATTTATCCTAAATGTTAATTACAATATTGTAGTTATTATAAAAGACAATATCTTTTAAACTATTAAGAATGACCTTATCTTGTAGACAACGATTAGTAGTGATGACGAAAATGCCTAAAAAACATCAAGAGGCTTCTAAACAATTTTTAATTTCAAGTTTGATGTGGTGCCAATTTAGTGTTGATTCCCTTTCACGATCCAAAGTTTGTCCAGTTTATAAAAATTGTTTCTAGGCCCAGAAAATGTTATTGTTGAATCTGCTCACCCGTTATACCGTTGTTCTTGAAAAATTATAAATAATTAACAAATATTAAAGGCGCAAGCAGCTTGTTATTTGTGAAGTTGGTTTTGTTGTTTCGTTATATGACCAGTTTCCATAAAAACCACATAAGCCCATGGTTCAAATTATTGTAGGTTGTAGCAAAGTTTGTTAATGGAGGAAGATGTTAGGGATACCTACCGTCAACATGAGGTTTTACTAAAAATTATGCCAAAAAGCCATTCTTACAACTTGAATTAGATGTTAACGAACTTTGATATAAATTATGTGTGAACCATATGGATTTATTAGAGTAGATTATAGGATCTGGACAAAGTACTTTCTTAAGCATAAAAATTGCAATTGCACAATAATTAATACATTATAAACGTAATTATGTTATAAAGGATGCTGTTGATGTGTACAAATATATGTGTTTGTAAGTTATTGTTGATTGATGTATGTGTCATTAGATTTAGTCAGTGATGATTGAAAATTGTATCATTTGAAATAAAGTTTATTGAAGGGAACTTCCACAAATTTCTTTTTAATATCCTTGACGGCGATAACGAGACCAAGAACAGACAGGTGTGCGACGTCGTCAACGCGCTGTTAGAGCGGTTGCTACGGACACGTTTGGATAACAAATGCAGTGACACTATCGCTCAACAACATTACCAGAAACAACTCATTTGTAGAATTATGCTCTACTCCGTTCATTATATTCAACTGTTGTAGAAAAGGAAAATTTGATAACCATTAAGACATTATAGATTTAAATTCAAATATACCCTAGCTCACGAGCTTCCATGACGGTAGAATGACAGCTGGTTGTCTAGTAATATTTCAAAATTCCTCATATCGGAAAAGGGCACATAATTCTGACGGATCCATCAATGCCAGGTAGACAGCCGTATTTTGTTTTGGCTTTATGTACACTACAGATTCATTTTGTCTTTGCTAAAAGCTCTTTTATTTAGAAAAGTTCATTTGCATACAAAACGCTACAAACAATTTTGTGTTAGATTTACATTCGATTCATTACAGCCAACGTTGCAGACTAACACAAAAATGACACTTGCTGATCAGATGTTCACATCAGTAGACGTCAAAGCGTGATGGATACTCATGAAATAGGATATACATATTCATGTCACATTACATAATCCAATTACAACGTTTATTACAAATACGTAAATATTTAGATACGCCTACTGGAATTTTTTTAAAAAGGCAGTGGCGTACACTTTTTATTAATATTATTGGTAAGATAGCTCCCCGAAACGCCACTGCAATTCATAATACCTTCTGGTTACTGCTAACTTAGTGTCTTATTGCAGTGAACAACTGCCAAAATTGAACATAGTCGGCACAAGGATCTTTAAAATGTTAATTTCTAAAGTTTTTTAATCGAAAAAAATTCGAAAATGAGATATGTTTTTCACAAACAAACATGTCACTCATTTCTGTCGGTCTGCTAATCTTATATCAGTGTATAAGTTGAGAAGTACCGCTCGGCTTTCGAAGGAATTTTCACGCAATGTTCCTAGTATGCCAAGGACGCAAAAGATTTGTATTTGAAAATCGTAAAAATCACTCAAACTTCGATTTTGACGTTTCAGAGGATCCTGATCATTTTTGAAAAAAATCTTAGAGATAAAAAAACTTGGGGATGGCGTTGTAAGGGTTTAACTAAATTTTGGTAAAAGATTTGTAGTTTTGAAAATTTGTCCAGTAGCAGTGGAGGTATGTGCAGAAGAATCGCTTAAACTTCGTTTTTTGACGTTTCGGAGGCTAATGATCGTTTTCAGAATTTTTTTTATACATCCCAATCTTTTGTTGTTAGTATACAGGGTGACTTTGAAGTTGAGTCATTAATTTTCAGATAATGATTGTAGAAGGAAGGTAAACCAAAATATGTGTGTAAAAATAAAAAAAAAAATAAAAAAAATGTTACCTTGTTTTATAAAGTATCCTCCCGACAAGTATTTCAGTGCGGACTTGTATTTGATCGAGCGGTCTTGGAGCACCGGCATGCGCTCCCCTGTGAGGTCTTAAGTCACCTGATTCACGAGCCCTTTGTACTACATTAACAAAGGCACGAGGGGTTGGTTGCACTCGATTGGGAAACTGATCGATCCGCATAAATCCGTGATATGCCGCGGCAGCATTTTGTAAAGACCCCCCCCCCCCCCGTAAATAAGAATCATGTCAACAGGTCCAGCATTTTCGTAAACATGTGCCATTTTTTATTTCGTTTGAGCCACGCAACAAACACCACTATTCACTCACGCGTTACCGACTGACACATTGACTGAATACAACTGAATAAAATTGTAGTAAAAACATCGCGATAAGCGTTTCAAATTCTTTCGCTTTTTTATATATATATATATATATTATATCCGTTGTTGCCAAACACGAGCACATAATATTATTATTGAGACAGGGCGGTACTCAAACTTCTAAAGGGCTATAACTTTGTTACCTTAATTTTAAAAAAAATGTTACCTTGTTTTATAAAGTATCCTCCCGACAAGTATTTCAGTGCGGACTTGTATTTGATCATGCGGTCTTGGAGCACCGGCATGCGCTCCCCTGTGAGGTCTTAAGTCACCTGATTCACGAGCCCTTTGTACTACATTAACAAAGGCACGAGGGGTTGGTTGCACTCGATTGGGAAACTGATCGATCCGCATAAATCCGTGATGCCGCGGCAGCATTTTGTAAAGACCCCCCCCCCCGTAAATAAGAATCATGTCAACAGGTCCAGCATTTTCGTAAACATGTGCCATTTTTTATTTCGTTTGAGACACGCAACAAACACCACTATTCACTCACGCGTTACCGACTGACACATTGACTGAATACAACTGAATAAAATTTTAGTAAAAACATCGTGATAAGCGTTTCAAATTCTTTCGCTTTTTTATATATATATATTATATCCGTTGTTGCCAAACACGAGCACATAATATTATTATTGAGACAGGGCGGTACTCAAACTTCTAAAGGGCTATAACTTTGTTACTTTAATTTTACCAAAAAAATGTTAAAGGAAAAAACATTTCGTCTGATCAGATCGACTCACTGTTAAATAAATGACTCAACTTCGAAGTCACCCTGTATTTATACGTTACAAACCCTTCTAATTCTACGCACCTATTCTACTTCGAAGTTGAGTCATTTATTTGTGAGAGTGAGTAGAGCTGATCAAAAGATTTTTTTTCCTTTAACATTTTTGTGGTAAAATTAAAGCAACAAAGTTATAGCCCTTTAGAAGTTTGAGTACCGCCCTGTCTCAATAATAATATTATGTGCTCGTGTTTGGCAACAACGGATATAAAAAGCGAAAGAATTTGAAACGCTTATCACGATGTTTTTACTACAATTTTATTCAGTTGTATTCAGTCAATGTGTCAGTCGGTAACGCGTGAGTGAATAGTGGTGTTTGTTGCGTGGCTCAAACGAAATAAAAAATGGCAGATGTTTACGAAAATGCTGAACTTGTGGACATGATTCTTATTTACGGGGGGCGAGTCTACAAAATGCTGCCGCGGCATCACGGATTTATGCGGATCGGTTTCCCAATCGAGTGCAACCAACCCCTCGTGCCTTTGTTAATGTAGTACAAACCGGCTCGTGAATCAGGTGACTTAAGACCTCACAGAGGAGAACATGCCGGTGCTCCAGGACCGCACGATCAAATACAGGTCCGCACTGAAATACTTCGGGAGGATACTTTATAAAACCAGGTAACATTTTTTTTATTTTTACACACATATTCTGGTTTATCTTCCTTCTACAATAATTATCTGAAAATTAATGACTCAACTTCAAAGTCCCTGTATTTCACACATCACAGACTTCACCGCACATTTGCCCTTAAAACTCGGAATGAAGAAGAAACGTTTCCGATATGCGCATCCGTTTCTGCTCGTTGGTTTACCGACGGGCATGATTGTCTCTAAGAGTGTTTATTGCTGCCTCTGCGCTACGCTACCGCGCCTTGCTGACCGGTAAGTGGTAGGGCGGACGTTGCTACGTGGACGGTACTACCGGTAGGGCAGGGAAAGGAAGTCTATGGACAAATTGTATGGGCCTATTTGACTGACATGATTCATTTAATGTCTCTGTTGTACATGTTCGTAAATAACTTTTTCCTCGGAGGCTCTAACTTGTGCTAGTCATAATCCTTTATGTTCTGTTGCCGACGGTGCTTGCGAGGTGCATAGTCAACCTACTTGACGCTATTTTTTATAATCGCAATCCAATCTCAGTTACTCATCACGAAAAGCTATGGCCAAACGTTCTCGAGTAGCACAAGGCGCAATACAACGTGAGAACACAATTTAAAAAATATAAAATAACTCGTGCATTAGATCAGAAGAAAAATGCTATGACCCCCAACCTAACTAGCACCATTTAGTTCCAGATTACTCCCCATTTTTTCTTCCTTATATTCGTGTTTAAAGGAAATAAAAAGAGGAGGCGAAAGAACGCATGACGAAACCTATAAAGTGTGTTATTCAGATTCAAAGTAAGCTTATCACGCTTATAAAACCGATAAGGGACGGTGGATTGGAAATATTGGAGGTCACTATCACTCCTCTGTAGTCTGTAGTTCATTTAGTTTTTAGGACACCTATTGGAAACCTCAAACTTGTAATACAAAAGTCATCAACTTTGTCTAAAGTTTCACATAATGCTTTTGGTGTTTAGAGGAAAAAATACACGATTACAGGTTGCCGAAGTGTCTTTAATTTAAACAAAAGAAAAACTACATAACTTAAATCACAAGCTATTTTTTCACAAAATATACACATATATGTACTACGACAATAGTCACAGTGTCTTTTATCTGACGAGCGCTTTGCAAGTATCATAAAATAAGTTATCCTTATTTACCTTCTATTCCTAACATGTACCACTATACTCAACATCCTAGAAAACAGTAGAAAAGTTTCAGAAACGATTCTACAGGAAATGAGCTACTCCAACATATTTACTCATTATAAAACAATATATAACATTTAACACCAAATTATAGTGAAATATTTTGTTACAGGCTCGCTTAGAAATGCTGGAGTAATATGTTATCTACCAAATACTTTAGTTCGCGTTTGAGCTAAAATAGACGATCACATCGAAAAAAACTATAACGTGCTAAGATCTTAATTACACATCACATTAAAAGTTATAAAAAAGATTATAAAGGAAATAAAATATGGCAATTTATAAGCACAGCAGAGCTAAAATCAGCTTACACTAAACAGTCGGAAGCTACAGTTTCAAAAATATACATATATTGAACAGTTTAAAAAAGTATATCAAATACCACACACAAGCGTCAAATTGGCGCGCTGCAAAAAACGCGCGATTTTCTATTCGCTCGGGACGCGTTCCGACATGCGTCGACAAGCCCTGACAAGTATTTCGAATAATACCGTTATAGGTACATCAGTGACTCGTATGTTATAGTAACTTTTTATACAGAAAAAGAATGGAGTACAGTACATACAGTACAGTATATATGACATCTGTATAAGTTTGTATAAAATGTTGTTTTTAATCTTTTTTATGGTTAGTTGCTAGTAAAAGTATATTGTATTAGTAAAGAGTTTTGAGTTGATTTTAAAATGTTTCACCATTTTCTTCTTCCCAATTTTAGGTTTTTCTTTTATATCTCTATTTAACAACCGGATTTTGAAATATATGTTACATCTAAAAAATGGTGCCTGGCACAATTTTAATCCCGTGCGTTCAAATTGTTGAAAATAAGCTCGTTACATTTAATCAGAAAACATTAAATTTGTCCTACTCTATATAAAACTGTACGCGGGCCAACAAATCCGCGCACACGTCGACGCGCGCCATCTGGACTAAGGCTAAACGCGCGCTTTTTGCACGCGAGTTGACTTCACGCCCGTGTGTAGAGCGAGTAAGGTGAATATTACCGCAAAAGCAAACCCCTGGAGTAGCGAGAAACTTAAAATTGTAAAGACGACGAGTGTTGCATATATTAACAATACTTTTAGCTGCTATCAATTACTTGTTCAAATGGCTACTGAGTTCAAGGTTCTTACACGATTCATTATTTGCTATAGTACAGACATTCAACAACAAATGTATTACATAAATGTAGGAAGCCCTAGCGCTCTGCATACTTTGAAGCTGTAGCTTGATTGTCATGAACAGATGAAAGAAATATGGGTGTACAAAGAATTTATTTATAAAAAGAATGAAGATCTTTGGCATGAGGAATGTAACGTAAACATACATAAATTATTTGAACACAATGACTAGATTAGTATGTGAAGTTGTGACGTGGGAAAACTGCTGTAGCAAGTTTATCGTCTTCTGGGTCAGACTGGTTTCGATAGCGTCTCGCTAGTAACAAACCTATTATCTAATAAAAATAAATGTTAGAACAGATCTCACTGGTGTTTGTTTTACATGCAATAGAAGACTAGTTTTCATCTTCAATTATATATTCCCATATACAATACTACAACGAATCCAGATAGCATGTAAACTTGTGACAAACTTTCGTTTCCGTTTGATTGTAAGTTGTTGCCGTCAAATATGACGAAGCTTGTGAAAATATTGCTGCAAAGACAATAGTTCAAGTTTGTGACAAGGTTGCAACAACAACTTCACGTTCGACATGTATCGGAAGTAAGGTGAAGTAACCAGAACTGCCAATGTATAAGGAATTTCCCAACATCTGAGGAGTTAATCAATGTTTTGTAGGTTTTCTAGAGACTTTTGAGGAATGAATACATGCAGGAAAAATTATAGGTCTCTAAATTTATTGTTGTATCAGATAAAAATCAATCATATTCTCTTAATCGCTATTAACAGTAATTTTATTTGTCGTTATCTATTTCTGCATAAGAGCTCGGCAACTTGCACATGCAGTTATACCATATCGCGGAGAAAAATTCCATCATTTCCCAAATACGTTGGTACAGCCGAGTGTATTCTGTTCATGATTTGAAGTATATTATGTAAAGGTATAAATATAGACAAACGTTTATTTGAAATTCGCGCCACAAATTGACGACAAAAATCCGATCGACCAATGGATTTGGCAACGGTGTGCCATGTACCATGTTGGCGTGGCACTTGCGTTTACGTTTTCCACCTTTTCCACTTAATCGTACAGCGATTTCGCTAGGTCGTAGACGGTCTCTGATGTCTAACGCGGAGGTACCACTCGGCGGATCTCGTAGGCGGTGCCAGAATGTGTGCATGCTGCATGCACACGTGTTCGCTCGCTTTCCCTGTTTCCCCTATAGCCCCACGTACCCCATGGGTGTTTTAGGCCTTCGTGATAGTTGGAGCATAGAAAAAATTGAGTTTATATTTAGAACCTTTTTTCCTGGTATTCGCAATATATTCTGCTAAAACTTGCATGATCTCTTTGGTATTTATTATTTACAACTTTACTCTGCTGTGGTTTCCTGTATATAGTGCATATAACTATCCTCGTGAACCTAGTAAATCGAATCTCATTAGTTGGATAAACGATTTTACTGACGTTTCGGATGCGCCAGCACCCCTTACAGAAGGAGAATTATCGTAAATGTGACTTGGTCTACATCAACATTCATCCATGTGGATTGAACGTCTTTCTAACCAAATGTTACATTATGTTCCTCGATATTGATTTCAGGGACAACCAAAACGTCAGTAAAATCATGTATCTAATGTGATTCGATTTACGGGCTAAACTGTTTTGCAAGTTACATTGCCAAGTTTGTCATGTCAAAACTGGATATATCAAAACAAACTTTATACAAATTTATTATATAAAATTTGTATAATATTTATAAAAGTAAACTTTAAGCAAGTTTGTCGTATGGGACAAGAAAGTTTGATTTAAACTTGCTGCAAGTGTGCAGGGTTGCCATGGCAAGCTTGAAGCAAGCCTGCATTTGTGATACAACAAACTTGCTGCAAGTCAGAAACAAGTTTATTCTGCTATCTGGGATTTGTGTATCCAGAGCACAAAGTATGTATTACTTTGCTGCTCGGAAACGATGACTCGAAATGGAGCGCGACGGTATTTCGACAGCGCCACAATCCTTGGCGTCCGTAAAGCACACAAGATTTTTCTACAACCGCAGTTTAATATTACAATATAAGTAGAAATACTTTCACAATTATATAAAGGTATTTTCTATCTTCAGTACCTAACATAAAAAACATTCAAAATATTAGAGTTAAACCAGCATTCAATGTGTCTGTTTTTATAATAAATTATACATTTCTGCCGTAACACACGGTCAGTACAAACTTGCTTCTACTAATTTATCGCTTTAGGGCGACAAATCTACCAGTTACAACTACTCGGGCAACGTTAATCTTAAATGGCCGATTGTGAACAATAAAACCGACTTTTTTGGCGGTTGTAGGAAAGAAATACTTGTCCCTAACATACACGTTCAGTAAGCCTTACAAGTGTATTAATGATGAATACTGGAATTACTGGAATATAATACTGTTAAACTGTTTATCTTTTTAAACGCTCACATGTCACAGATACATTTTAAAATAAGAGAACGCTTAAAATATAATTAGTCTTACCTAAGTTTAAGCTGGCCATACACGTACAAAATTAACTCTCATGAATAACGTGTATGACGAGCTTTAGCGCGGGTAAAAATAGTCACATCCTAAGCTACAAATAATTTTCTCCATCAATATAACCATAAGCAAAACTTAAACAATAGTAAATATATTTTAGACCCACCACTGATTGTATAGCTGTTATAGAAAAGCACTGGGGTTAGCTCTCGGATCTTTCTGATTACGATAACGTACGGTTAGTAAAACGCCCATGAACTGAAACATGCACCAAATACCATCATAATATGTTGAGACCCAGCCAAAAAAAGTGAAAGAAGCCACCTTGAATAGTATTGTGTAAAAGGGAAGAGAAGAAAAATCGTATACAGAACAAGATAGGAGAAATCAATCAAAATACCTGTTTTTGATTTCAGATTTAATAATTCTAAGCTTGGAATGAATCAATTATTATTCATACTATACTCTTTCACTTTTTTTAACAAGAAAATATTTTAAATAATTCATCCCAAATCTTGATTATCAGTCATGAGTGTCATTATCTGCAATCAATTTTACAAATAAGTTGTACCTGCATTCCTCTAATATTACTCACACTGTATGTAAATGCAAAAATATGAAATCTGTTGAAGAAGGCCAATAACAAATTGTACAAAATGAAATTAAGACATTCACGCTACATTTTATCAATGTTTTCAGTACCACTAACCAATCCGCCGGAAGTTGGCACACCTTTTTGCAGTACCCTTGATTATTTATTTTCAGAGTTCTAAACTACTTTCTATAATAATAGTTCTACATTTCTCAGGGAAGGAGTGCGACAGCAGCTCTGCCATTTTTTTTTTTGAAAAATTTTTAAAGAAGTTCTTGACGCCGCACCCCTTTTACTTAAAACGTGAGTCCTGAGCTGCGGATTCACAAGGTAGTGACTATTGTAACAATTCTCAATAGGTATTAGCAAGAGTAATGCCAAATTTCGAAAAGTAAAAAAAATCAGTATCAACCATCCACGAGGCAATTTGCTAACATGACACATTTATCGCCAGAAAATGCAACAAGTACACTGCACTCCAGCGCAGTAAGCCTCATACATGCATGCAACTAATGATTTTTAATAATTTTCAAAAACTGGAATTTAGGTTGCTATAAGAAAAAACTGCAAATATCATAACTCACTTGAGGCTGAACAAAAGCAAAAAGCGCAGAGTTCTAGCACCTCTAGCATAATTTTCAGTACAATTTCAAAAGCAGAATTTGGGGATACCATTATAAAAAAACACTGTTTGTTAAGGAAAATGTCGATAAATGTCTTCGAAAACCCTAAAACTTCCCTCAAAAGTGAAAACACGCGGAGTTCTAGCGCAGCACGCCCAAAACTTTTTAAAAAGTTCGCAAAGAAAAACTGCAGAGCTATGTCGCACCCCACTTTGAACTTTACAAGTATTAGAAAGTAGTTCAGAACTCTGAAAATAATCAAGGGTGCTGCAAAAAGGGGTTTCAACTTCCGGCGGGTCATTAAATGTGATTGTATCAACAAAAAATGACAACAACACTAAAACTATTTGAAACAGCAAACATACACAGATAATCTATGTTGTGCGCAACTAGGTGACGATCGCCACGTATCAATACTTTCCCAAGCTGATTGTCATATTCATCAAATATGATGAAGATGACAGAGGCCCTTTACTCCCTCAAGGGATCGGAATACTAAATACCCACAAAGGAAACCAGCAATGGATTTCTATCCATATATGCATAAATAGACACAAGCTGAAATGGAAGTGTTTGCTTTCCATTTCAGTAGCCATGACCAACAACAGATAGCACTATTTTGAGCTCATTGGCAACTGATCAGTGCAGTATAAGTCTAGTACTAGAGACAAATGGAAGCAAACGAGCAGGTACACTCTTTTGAAAAACTGAAAATGTTGTATGATATGACGACCTTCCAATAGTTTGTGAAGACAATTTTCACCCACATCCTATATGATGAAGATGACAGGGGTCCTCTGTCTATACTATGCCAATCAGTAGCTAATAAGAAAGAAACAGCCCTGTCTATAGTTGGTTATGATTGAAGAGATGGAAAGCAGACATGTCGATTTCAGCCCATAATCTATTTTTCATGATACAGCTATTATCTAATGTCATTCAATATACCCCATATTATCAAGTGACACAGAATCATGTATACGTATACAACTCTGTCGGATCTGTGTTATAAAGGTGTGATCTGTGCCGATATTTGTTATGCCTTTTTGTACTGATACATACTGTCCAACAATGATTTACTGCAACTCTCTATGTTTACTTTGTATATTTTATTGCTAAAATTGCCAGTCAGTGAAACTACTAAACATTAGATGCAGTTTCAACTTAAATTATTGGGCCATGTACAGGCGATGCCATCTATTGGGCCTGTTTTGATTTTATATTTATTTACTCATATTGTTTGTTATCTTTGTACATTGAGTGAATAAATATTATTATTATTAAAAAAAAAATATTATTACTACTGTACAGCACAACTGTAAAGACTTGAGACAAAGGTGTCACTTGCCAATCATATGTTTGCATCATTAGATCGTAAAACATGAAAAACAAGATTAGACAGAAAATAATGAGTGTGAAGGTAGCTCCAAAAGCTGCCGTGGCCGTAGCGTTACTCATAGAAGCCCGTGACGCGCTTACAAGGTGAGCGCGGTACTTATATATATTCTATCTGTGCTTACGAGTCTTATGCTATTACGGTATTGCATTAACTGGTTCTGCAGTGTTTGTAGGTTCGTATCTAAAGCTAGTCGTACACCTCAACTCATAACAAACAGGCCTGTCGTGTATTTTTTTTTTCGTGAAAACCTGCAGATGTGCGTCGATGTGCTTTTCAGGGTTTAAAGTACACAACAAGAGCTATTATAATCAGTTATCGTAATGTTGTTACAAACGGTCTTACACCCCAGCTGAAAAGAAAGAAGTCTGTCGGGCAAGGTGAGCGATACTCCCTGCAATTTAGGATTTTTTTTCGAAAAACCTGCAGATGTGCGTCGATGTGCTTTTCAGGGTTTAAAGTACACAACAAGAGCTATTATAATCAGTTATCGTAATGTTGTTACAAACGGTCTTACACGTCAGCTCCAAAGAAAGAGGTCTGTCGGATACGGTGCGCGATGCTCCCTGCAATTTACGAAACGCACATCGACGCACATCTGCAGGTTTTCACGAAATAAGAAAATCCTAAATTGCAGGGAGTAACGTTCACCTTGCCCGACAGACTTAAAAATACCCTACAGGCTTGTTTGTTATGAGTTGAGATGTACGAGAAGCTTTAGATACGAACCTACAAACTCTGCAGAACCAGTTAATGCAATACCGCAATAGCATAAGACTCGTAGGTACAGATAGAATATATGAGCCCCTTCCCACTTCAGTTGGCCCAACTATTGAAATCTTAGCTTTTTGCTTATCAAACACAAATAATAAAAATGTAGCAGGGTGTTATAGGTTTAAAATATTAACAATGAATATTTTGATAATATATAGTAGAAAACACCAACTTTATCACTCCCTAATCAAATTTGCAGCATAAAAATAACACATGTTGCAATTACAGCATATCAACCTATTTTCATTTCAATGCAAAATAAGTCTATAATGCATAGGTGGCTGTGAAAAATAAAAGCCATGACCATTGTTTTTATTAATCACAGCTGTCAGAATACGTTTAAAATAGTTTTGGGTAGTTAAGGTTCTCAAAATGGGTAGAGGAAAGGTTATTAGTGAGAAAATTCGGTTACTGATAATCAAATTTTTTAATTCTGGGAAATCAAACTGTGAAATTGCAACTTTGTTAGACTTATCGCGGTAGAGTGTGTGAAATATTGTTAGAAGATATAACGTAACTGGTTTAGTTAATATTAAGCCACGATATGTGAAAAAAAGTAATATCACAAATGCCGACCGAAGAGCATTACGGCCCGTATCGTCAGTCGTTCCTACAATTGTAGGGTGCGTTTATAGCCTCCTTGATTGTCATACTCTTTTCTCTCCTTCAAAAATTTCTAAATTGCACCTGTTCTGTGTCAGCGTCAGCGCTCTCCTATTGTGAAGATATGTTTTCTTTTTAAATTGTAGGAAATTTCGGGCTGATAAAATATGATATAAATCAAAAGCATGCACAATTTGATGCAAATAGATATTTGTGACATAACCTCAAAATAGAGCGCTGACAGGGAAAATTAGAAAACTATGACAATCAAGGAGGCCATACACGCGCCCTACAATTGTAGGGACGACCGACGATACGGGCCTAAGAAGAATAATCGTGAAAAACAGGCGTCCCAATTATTTACAATTGTGGAGTGACGCTGTTGGAAGGAGAATTTCGAGGTCCGCAACTCATAGAGAGGCCCACAAACCGGGATTTAGCACTTGCAAGGTAAGTTTTCTTATAAAAAAAAAGTGAAGTAAAAACCCTAAAGTTGCACAACTTGTTTATAGGCCAAAGAAAAGCCACTATTAACTCCACTGCAAAAGAAAAATCGGCTCAGATGGGCTAACGAACATAGACAATGGATACCTCAACAATGGTGTGTCCGATTCGAAGTTTTTGTTGGTGACAGTCGCAGTAGAGTTATTCGCAAAAAAAAAAGGAAGCATTCCATGTTGATTGTCTGAAGAAAAAAGTGAAATTTCCAGCATCCATTATGGTCTGGGGCAGTATGTCATCAAAAGGAGTAGGAAAACTTCATTTTATTGATGGAAATCTGGATACAAACAAATATTTGGCAATTTTAGATGAATCGCTTTTACCAGTGATGGAAGAATGTTTGACATCCGGCCAAGATTTTGTGTTTCAGCAAGATGGTGCAGCGTGCCATACCTCAAAACAGGCTATAAAATGGATGGAAGAAAATAATATACCACTTTTGAAATGGGTTTCTAGCAGTCCAGATCTGTCACCTATTGAAACTTTGTGGCACGAGATGAAAAAGGTTCTACGACAACATCCTGCTCGTACAATCACCGAACTGAGACAAAAGCTTCAAGAAATATGGGATTGTTTTACACCAAATTTTTGCCAAAACTTGGTTAACACTATGCCCCAAAGAATTTCAACCATATTAAAAAATAAAGCTGATGTTACCCAATGGTAATCTTTCAATTGTTGCGTTGTTAACTTCGCGCATTTATTCGCACATTGTTTATTTGTTCTATTAGTTATAGGTCTATGTGATTTCAAATATGTATTTCTTACGACTAGAATGTATCTAAAATGTTTTTGAGAAAATAAATTGTTTTAGAAGTAAATAGTTTAGTCAAGTTTAGTTTATAAAGGCATATTTTGGTACAAATCTTGAAGTGGGCCAACTGAAGTGGGAAGGGGCTCGTATATAATTACCGCGCTCACCTCGTATGCGCATCACGGGCTTCTTCGAGTAACGCTACGGCCACGGCGCGGCATATTGCAGGCGGACAGCCTTTATTCGGTCCGCTGTAATCGAGCAGCGGGTAGGATTGTGGAGCCAGCTTTTGGAGCTACCTTCACACACAGAAAATACACCTGTACCCATATTGAATAGAAAATACGTAGATGTTTATTCTTCCTAGTATATCTGCCAAATTTAGTGTAACTTGAAATGTTATGTTGCAGGTGGCAATAATAACTGATGGATAAGGTGTAGTTCAAGAAAACAATCTAAAAATCAGCTTATATTTACCTCAGTAAAACTGAAAAATAGCCCAATCCATCCACATAGTTTAAATGCATAGTTTATTGTATTTTGTAACTTCTCCATACATGGTGGACACTGACAGTTGTCTGTATCTGGTGGAACACAACATCTTTGAGGCTAAAAAATGGTGATCAAAAAATTAGTGCCACTTCTGCTTTACTTCAAAGTGAAGTATTGAATTTTATAATTATTAAGCCAACTGATGCATGCTGTATTGGATTTAAAGTAAAAATACCCAAATTCAAAGAAGCTACACAATTTCCTTATGCACCTACATGTATGTGTGGTCCAAAATATGTATAAGTTAAAAAAATTACTGTATTACCTCACAAGTAGGATGATGAACCTCCTTATCAACCTTATCATCAAAACCACAGCACCTGAAACTATCTTGTACTTGTGACAATGTATCATTATCTACATGAATCCATCCTTGTTCTGCCAGCTGAGCTTGCTGTTCTTTGTTTACACCCAAGCAAGCACAAGCCACAGAAAATTGAATAAGGAATAGTAAAAATAGGATGACCATGTACTATGTGTCTGTTAAGAAAATATTATATCAGTTTATATTTTATCCAAGGCATTAAATCAGGACAATCCACTGAAGTTTTTTCAACAGTAATGCTTGATGTAATGTGGCTCTATTCTATCATCTTGCCAACAAAGTCTCAGAGTCATGTATGGATGTTTGAAAGTGATAGACACACAATCAGTTAGGAAAAGAATGGTTGTGTTCTTCAGTCACTATGGCATTATAAAAACTCAACAAATGATTACAGCAAATATAATATTGAAGTAGGCATATGACCCCTTTACTATACACTTCATTTATACTTGATAATACACAACTTTTTCCTTTATCTTCTAGGGAAAATGAAAGCAATGGCTTTACTGCAGGTTTGAGAGGATGAGATATTATTGGTGATGGACTCTCGAGAACTAATAACATTTGAGTAGTAAACAACATTTACCGAATGACCTACATATATTATCCAATCTTTAATTTACGAAATGTGTCAATTGGTTAAATGAGCACATTTCCTGTTTTGCTAAAAGGATACAAAGAATAACATGACTTGATGATGCTTCACAGCCCCGAGGAGCCCCAGCACTGAGATCAGTATTAGTATAATGCCGCATGCTAAAATTCCCCCGACGATAGGTAAATTTGTCACCAGGGAAGCTGCCCTACCGTATACAGCTACCCCTATTAAGATGTTTGCGACTACCTAGAGATAGCAGAATGTATAAAAACGATCATTTAAGTGTTGTATAACTTACGATGTATAACACGTTGAGGGCAATAAGAGCATTTTTGGAGCACGTGAAGCCTCCACACATTTTATATACATAAAAATGCTAATATTATTAAGTTAAATTGGATTTTGGCTCCTACACTGCACTTTTAGTATATTTGACAACTCTCAACGCACCACAGAACATCACAACGGAACAAACAAAACAGAAACATCCACTTCGCCTTCATTTCTTCATCGCCCTTCACACCACTTCACACATACACATCTGATTGCAATGTTGCCAAGTATAGTCTGTGGTATGTGTGGTATAATAGTCGACCTGTTTTACGTAGGTTTGTGCAAATTTTTCGGAACATCGCGGTAGACATAAAGCAATAGGTAAAAGATGATTGGAAACTGAAAAGGGGGCACCTTGCTTGTCCCCCACTGAGTTTTGAAAGTTGAAGAGCAGAAAGGGGTGTATTATCAAATGATAAAATGCTGCTAGTTCTTTTAGATTTACTTAGCAATAATGCTAAAATATCCATGTTACACAGTATAACACATAATATATTATGTCCTCAAGACTACACATTTTTATGCAAAATTTTATTACTATGAATTCTGGTCTTCCATAAAATATTTTTTCAATTTCCCCTTGATCATTTTCAAACTGGCAGATATCTTGATACAATTCCTTTTAGAATACTGACTTGCTCGTCACCTTTCTAGTGAAATTTTGTAAATGAAAGTCTGTACTCCCTCTAGTAGAAAAACCCTGTACTCATTGTCCGATACAAAAAAAATTTCCAAGAGATTTGGTAGAAGATGATTTTTCAACTTGAATATGAAAATGAAAGCCAAGTAGGGTTTGAAATGTTTGATATTTAACCATTGAAGTTCTTTCAGCAAAAATTATTCTAGTATATTTATTTTTATTTAAGATGAAATTTTGAAAATAGGTTTCGTTTGCAGTGAACAAAATAGTCGAACAATATAACTAATGAGGAAGAATGATAGTGTTGTACACAATTTTTCAGAATAAACGCTTAAGCTATTCGAAATTCTACAACAGTTATCTTTTTGGATATTTTTGAAATAACATATTGATAGTGTCCTTCAAATTTTAATTCACTATCTACGTATACGCCCTAATATTTAAATCATTCGATTTACGCAATTTTGTCATGATTAATCGTAAGATTTATCGTATTTTCATCTAAGGATTTTCCTATTAGCATATATTTTGTTTTGTTTCTGTTTAATTTGAACTTATTCACATTAGTTATGCTTTTCATATCATTATTTAATAGCTCTATTGCAGTGTTAGCACTGACCGAATATTGAGGAACGGACGCTTAATCACTCAAGAATGTGTTCTTGTGTTTCGTTGAATCATATCAGAAATATAGGTATTATTCAAGAGTTTAAAAGAATTTTCGGTAGATGTGTCCTTAAAATCGGTAGCTCTCTCTATTTATCGTCGATGGGCAGCTCGGTAAGACTAAAATCTGTAGGTCTACCAAAGAATCGGTAGATCTGGTAGCACTGTACGATGGACTGTTGTTGCTTACCTTTTTCTTTTATCGTTTCGTGGTTATAACTTAACCCTTTGATTCCGAATTACGGATAACTGACCAATGCATGACCAATGGTGATAAAGTAACTAATCACGTTAACATGTCTTGGAACACTCGGCCGCGCCTTATTTCCGGGTGTAGTACAGCTGTCAATCTTACTGTCATTTGTCGTGTATTTACAGGACTGACAGCTTTCTGCTGTTTAAAAACACGTGTTTTTGTATTGAAAATTGGAGTTGTGAACAGTTTTTAATTCAGAAGAAATTTACACACGATGAAGAAAATTAAAAACGGGGATGCTATAGCTCTCGAAAAGAGCAACCAGAAAAAGTTTAGCAACAAAACCAAGAAGTTGAAACAACAGATAAAAGTAAGCTACTTTATTTGATGTCTTTGGGGATTATTCAAACTTTTTATTCTAGACCGGGAAAATAGAAATTATAGAAGACAAGAAGAAGAAGCAACGGCAATCTGCTGAAGAAAAAAGAGGTCTTATATACATCGGACATATACCACATGGATTTTATGAGGAAGAAATAAAGCAGTACTTTGATCAGTTCGGCAAAGTTACAAATGTTAAAGTATGCAGGTCTAACAAAACTGGGCAAAGTAAAGGTTATGGATATGTGGAATTTTTCCATCAAGAAGTCGCTAGAATAGCTGCTGAAACCATGAACAATTATCTGATGTTTAAGAAGAGAATTGTAGGTAGGTCACCTTTAAAAAATCAATGGTATGATACTTATCTTAATTTTTTTGTTGTACCCACACTGTATTACACCAATATACAAAATTTTATGATGAATGTTTGAAATATTTCAATAAATTCAAGCATTGATTATACCTACTATGAGTTAGTTTGACTTGAATTACAAATTTTGACAACAGGTTGACACAGTCAAAATCTGAAAATATTACTTACAGCTTCTTTTAAAAGGGCAGAGCAGATTTATGTCTTATATAAAAATGTTGTAAGGTGTTTAAATCTTTTCTTATGCATACATATAACAACATATTCTTTCTTACAGCTGAGTATGTACCCTATGAAAAAAGGCCAAATCACCTATTCCATGGTGCAAGCAGTACCCAGAACAGCTTTTCATCACAATCTAGAAGACGGAGGCAGTTCCCTACACTTAATGGTCCTGTGGATGAAAAGACTCACACAAAAAGAGTAAAATCGAGACTAACAAAACTCAATAAAAATTACAGAAGTTACACAGCATGGGCATTGAATCAAATTTTGAACCAACAGGAGAAAAACCGGTTAAAAGGGATCATGCTGATGCTGGTGATGGCATAACAGAGATTATTCAGGCAACAGAATTTGTCTCTGAAGTAGATGTCAAGATTCCTCTTAAAAAATCAAGAAAATCTATCAACACAGCATCAATTAGTGAACCAAAAATATCAAAATCTGGTAGTAGTCAATCATTATCAATTAAAAAATCTAAATCAACAAAGTCTGTGAATAAACTGTCAAAGATTGATAAAGCCACATCAGTAGATTCTATATTAATAGATAAAAAAGATCCCAAGATAAAAAAGAAGAGTGGCGGAATCATAAAAAGAACAAAAAAGCCAAGTCCTTTGAATGCAGATACTGTAAAAAAGATTGCTAGGGAATTAATTAGGAAGAAAGGTACTTCTCTGGTGACTTACGTTACACCAGGTAATAAGAAAACTGGGAAAAGGAAGATCAAATCAGAAAAGGTATAGACCTGATATGATTAATGTGGTTTTTAATAAATTCTGCTAAATTTACTGTTCTGTTTGACTTTACAAATGTATGAACCAACTTAATAATATATTTACAGATAAACTATTTCAAAAACATACAATAAATATTTCTTAACTACTAAAGTTTCGCAACTTCTGTCTGGCAAGCTTCAAAATCTAGATTAAATATCTCTGTGGATGGCAGTAGATGCTGCATCTGCCAATAGGTCACATCATACATACTATATGTGGCAATATTTCATTTTATCATATCTTATGCTTTTCATTTTTTTGTTGAAAAACTGGCTTGCAGCAGTTGATTGCCTATTGCTATTCCTATGAATAGCTATATCTTTGAACCTTTGGGTTTAGTAAGTAAAAAATGTCAAAAAAAATGAAAAATGTCGAGTTGTTGACTAAGGCCCGTATCGGCAGTCGTTCCCACAATAATTGTAGGGCGACTTTATGGCCTCCTTGATTGTCATAGTTTTCTAGTTTTCCGTGACAGCTCTCTATTTTGAGGTGATGTCACAAATATTTATTTGAATCAAATTGTGCTTGCTTTTGAAATATATCATGTTTTATCAGGCTGAAATTTCCCACAATTTAAAAAGAAAACATATCCTCACAATAGGAGAGAAAGGAGTATAACAATCAAGGAGGCCATAAACGCGCCCTACAATTTATTGTAGGAACGACTGACGATACGGGCCTAAGTAGTAGTTGTATGCTAGTGCACAAATTGCTCATTCTGTGCTTGCTGCAAGTGAGCATTAGGTGAATGACAACTAGTTCCAAGTTGAGGTCTTGTAAGAAAACCTACATAATGTCAAAAAAACCCGACAGTGTCACTTTTCATGTTACATAATACCCCTGCCTTTCTTCGAGAACCCAACACACTTGCATCTCATTCTGTATTAATTTTTCTTTATTTGAAGAGGAAACCATATATGTAAGTGTTATACCAAAGTCTAAATTTTAATGAAAATTTGTTTTCACCGTGTCAATTAGTCGAAAATGTTAGTTGGATATTGGGAGTTTTTTAATGCTGTTATTGTTATACACACTGCTGTCATAATTTATGTTAAATTTATTAATGTAATGGGCGTCATTGCCATACATTGTTTCATAAAACATTTTAACTTGACAGAATAACCACTAGCTAGCCTCAGCTCCAGGCTAGTTCAACTTTGGAACCGAATTTTGTTACCATTGGTATATAAGTTTTCTAAAGGAACTCCATTAAAAAAAAAAAGTTTAATGCGATCTTGGTGCCAATGGAATAAGGCTGCAGCGCCGGATCTACCTTTATGAGTGCTGAATATGAATCTAGGTAGTAAGAGGTTGTTTTGGATTTTCTACGCATCCGACTGTTTAGCCTTTTAGATTCCCCACTCAATAGGTCAACTTTTGGGAAATACATTTGTAGTCAAACACACCATACTCATCCAGACCAAGTGATATCGATGAAGATGGATCTGGCGCCTCATCCATATTATTGCAAGCACATCAAGATCGCTGGACGTTAATCCGCCCAATCTTTTTACTAAGGTTGCTTCAAATACTAATCTAAAATAGTCACTTTTTGGACTAGTTGGCATGGCGATCGTATTTGATTTTTTCATACTAAAAGATATCAGACATGAGAATGATTGTGAAAATGGTTGTTTTTATTATATGCATCAAATTACAATCTTATGCATTCAAAAAAGGAAAACGTATTTCAGAGATCACGCGCTGTCCTATTCACTTGCCTGGCATTATCTAGCTCAAAGTTTTGAGATCCAATATTCTTTTTAAATATATCCACTACATCGTCGGCATCAATTTCAGTCTCACAGTGAGTGTTCATAAGGGCCAAACCTGTTTTCACTCGATGTGTTGCGCAAATAGTTTTTCAGTCTCCTTAGGCTTAAAAAAGACCTTTCTGGGGTAACAGTGGATACAGGTATAGTAGCCAAAATTTGTAGCGATGTGTAGATACTTGGATATAGTTTTTGATTGAAGTTATTGAGGCATTCCAAAGCAGATTTTGGAGTAGTGCATTCTGTAAAGGTGCTTGTCATAACTGCTTTCCAGAATTGGCCGCAAAGTGTATAAAGCAATTGGACTTCTTTTTGTGATGTTTTTTATTATGGTTAGATTGAAGTCGGTGTCGGATAATGGCGGCGGGCGCACCTCAATTTTAATTGTAACGTAGGCAGCCATCATATTTACTCCTCGTCTCTCCTCTTTCAAAAATCGGTAATGTAGTATCTAGAACTACCCATGCTTATTCTCCAGCGGAGTAGCTCAAATAGACCTTTAATTATAGTTTTAAATAGTAATAGTTTAGGAAAAAAAAAGTTTAGAACTTTTCGGGGGGGTTTGAACCCTCAATCCCCCTGGCCACACCCATGTGATGCAAATTAGATGTCTTCCGTCATACAGGGTGAAGAATACTGGAGTTTATCGAGGTATAAGTACATCACCCCAAACTTCTCTCACAACTCCTACAGTTCAATAATTCATATCCCGGAACTCCCGCATTTCTTGTATATAATCTTGTATAAATTGTGGTTCCTTAAGGCTCCACGAACTTCCCGCTGCAGTTTTTCCGAAATCCGATTTTCAACCCCCCAACTTTCAGGACTAGAAGACCCCTAGCATCTACTTCTAGTAGATCAGTTCAAAAATCGGATTAACAAACTTTCGTTAGGATCCTCATTGCAGCCGCGGTGTAAAACAGTGTCCTTCTGGTCGGTAGTTCACTTCCGTCAAAGGCCTGCAAAACTGTCACAGTAGATGCCCCCAAACGTCTACAGAGGGTCCCAGGCATGATGGATGGCACAAAGCTACAAAGCTGCAGACCAAGAAAGCCCATCCTGTCGATGCAACAGGAAGTTGACAAAGTGGGCCGCATTCTGAAGCAGAAGTTTTCATCAGACTAGACAACATCTAAACCAAACTGCTTCCGCACCAGAAGAACTGGCCTCGTCCTGTCCAAAGAACAGGCTTGCAGCCACTTTTTCTTTTCTACAATGTGGCTTAATTAGTATCTCAATTTGACGTTTCGTCTTTTGTCCTTAAACATCAGCTTTATTTTTCTAATAGACGCCGAATTGGATTTTTCCCCAGGGAAATGAAGCTTTTATGTTTCAAAAACTGTATAATACGTCGTTCATTGATATAAGTTATTTAAAAAAAAATAATATTTCCTAAGTTGTCTCTGAAAACGACAGTTTATCCGATTGGATCACCAACCTTCAGTTTTTGTGAAGCGTGTTAAAGGAGATTCAGATAAAATTTGCTCATTTATTGACTATAATAAGCTTTATTTTAGCAGGATGGACGCACTCTACATGGCACCTCAACCGAATGAAATTTGAATGTAAGATGCGTCCATCGGCTTAGATCTGGCGGTTATTAAACTTGCTTAGGAAGCTGCAACATCCTTGAGATTTTCATTCACTTTCGCAAAAATGATGTTTTCAATTTTCTCAATACTACCCTTAAATAATAAAAAAAGTTTTAGCATTAGATTGCCCTTAATTAATTGAAAAATATTAACTAAATCATACTGTAGAGCAAAAAAAGTGGCAAAGTTATTGTACTTTTAATTTTGAAATCCCTTCTCAAGTAAAGACAGGAAAAAACGACTATTTTGGGAAAATTCGATCTATTTCGTCGATCTCCGGAAGTACTCGAAATTGCCAAACTTTGTGTCGTTTCTTTAGGTACTAAAATGCGCAACTTTGCCCTCGCTTAACCAACTTCCGTATCTCTCACCGTTTCCGATATCCCAATGGGGATAGTCGAATTTGTCGAATAAACTGTCGTAACTATAGGGATCTCTGGGAAGCAGTCAATCGCCTCAATATCAAAAGAAAACATAATACAGATATACCTCTACAGCTAAAAGAACCTTTTGAAATTAATAGTCATTTTCTTTCAGTCTTTAGTCCATCAAATAGCTGTCCTGAAGCTACTGCATTTTATAATTCAGCCAAATTTGCTAATATTTCTTTTTCTATTAATTTTGCTAATGTGGATGAAGTAAAAAAAACTGGTTCTTGATCTAACGTCTAGCGCATATGGTGTGGACGAAATTAGTGCAAAAATGCTAAAATACTCTATTTCTGCAACTGCCCCACACATAACTCATATTATAAATTGCTGCATAGAGGTTGGTTATTATCCTAGTTTATGGAAATATGCTCTTATAAAACCTTTGCCCAAAATAAGCATACCGTCTGTATATAATGACTTAAGACCGATTAGTATACTGCCTGCTCTGTCTAAAGTACTGGAGAAGGTGATCTATTTACAGTTATATGAATTTGTGATTTCTAACCAAATTATACCTGAATCACAGTCTGGATTCAGAAGGGGCTATAGCACAACTTTGCTCCTTTTAAATGTATCAGATGATATTATTAGATCTCTCGACGCTGGCCTTGCTACAGCTCTTGTATTTCTTGATTTTTCGAAGGCGTTTGATACGATTGATCACTGCTTACTTCTTGCAAAGTTACGATATTATGGTATAAATCAATTGGGCTGCCGACTTTTCAAATCTTACCTTCAGGGCCGTTACCAATGTGTTGTGGTTGATAATAGCTCGTATTCTGACTTCCAGCCTGTGACTTCTGGAGTCCCTCAAGGCTCCATATTAGGACCTTTGCTATTTATTATATATACGTCTGATATTTTTAAAACTATCACTTATTGCAAGATACAAGGTTATGCTGATGACACACAATTATACCTGTCGTTCGATCCTAGATTTATAAATACCGCATCTGCTTATATTAATCAAGATTTAGAAAATATTCAAAAATATTCATTTAATCACAACTTAAACCTCAATCCAGATAAATGTTAAGTTGTTATCTTCTCTCCGCCAAATTTTTATGCAGCATATCGACTTAACATTAAATGGAAAATCAGTCTCAGTAGTTAATAGTGCAAAGAATCTTGGTGTTATTTTCGACTGTAAGCTCAGATTTGAAGAGTACGTCTCACTATTAGTGAAAAAGACTTACCTAGTTTTAAGGCTACTGTATCGAAATGGTGGTATTTTAAATTTTAAATTACGTAAAAAGCTCTCAGAGAGCCTAGTATTACCTATTTTAAATCATGCAATTACGCTTTATTATCCCTTCTTAACGTCTATTTTGAAATACAGACTTCAAAAGGTACAAAATTGCTGTTGTAGATTTGTTTTTAGGCTCAAAAAGTTTGATCGAATCTCAGCTAAAATAAATGAGTTAAAATGGTTAAAACTGGAATATACTCATAAATATTATACTTCTATTTTAGTTCACCGTATTTTATCATCACAGAGCCCTGCTTACCTGAAAAGAAAATTAGTCTTTAGGCGTGATTTGCATGATTTAAATACGAGGTTCACTAATAAACTTTCTCTTCCTAAGTTTCGTTTATCTTTATTTAGAAAATCTTTTTCATATAATGCTGTTACTATATACAATAGTATCGATGACGCGCTTAAGTTTAGTTCTGTACCGATGTTTAAAGTCCTGGTAAGGCAATTTTATTACAATAGGTAATGTAATGGATAGTTCAATAGTTTTTTGATTATATACTCTTCGCTTTGCGGTTTTGTGTCTTAGGCTTTTGTTTATTTTCATTCAAATTATCTCATATTTTCTATGCTATTTTGTATTTGATCACTTCTGATGATTGCATTTTATGTATTATCTGTGGCTTTCTTCATTGTTAGCTTTTATTTAGGGTTAAGTAGAGTAGCTTAGGCTAGACTTCGCCTGTTGCAGATTTCTGCATTGTATATAACAATACTCAATAAAGACATAATAATAATAATAATAATAATAATAATTTGAAACATCCGGAATAGAAAACTTTATAATTTCTGACGAATAGATCAAAATTGATCTGAAAGAAAATATTAAGGTGCTTTACCAGAGGTAAATATTTCTATCCATAATTTAGGTAATTTTAAGTATTTTGTTTTAAAGTTTTTATACCAAAATGTAGCATTGAACTGTGTTTAAAATACATTAGAAGACGCGCACTAAGGAGATACATATTTTTAGGTATATATATCTCACTAGGTATGACATCTGGCGCATGTTTGGGTCCCAGGTTTTGCTATGAAAAAAAAAACACAAAAAGCATATTCTTAAATAAATAAACAATTTATCAATGTCTTAATCTTAAGTTAATTTAATTAATACGTCCTTCATTGATATGTTATTTAAAAAAAAAATATTTCCTAAGTTGTCTCTGAAAACGACAGTTTATCCGATTGGATCACCAACCTTCAGTTTTTGTGGAGCATGTTAAAGGAGATTCAGATAAAATTTGTCCATTTATTGACTATAATAAGCTTTATTTCAGCAGGATGGACGCACTCTATATGGCACCTCAACTGAATGTAATTTGAATGTAAGATGCGTCCATCGGCTTAGATCTGGCGGTTATTAAACTTGCTTAGGAAGCTGCAACATCCTTGAGATTTTCATTCACTTTCGCAAAAATGATGTTTTCAATTTTCTCAATACTACCCTTAAATAATATGAAAAAGTTTTAGCATTAGATTGCGCTTAATTAATTGAAAAATATTAACTATTTCATACTGTAGAGGAAAAAAAGTGGCAAAGTTATTGTACTTTTAATTTTGAAATCCCTTCTCAAGTAAATCCAGGAAAAAAACGACTATTTTGGGAAAATTCGATCTATTTCGCCGATCTCGCTTAACCAACTTCAGTATCTCTCACCGTTTCCGATATCCCAATGGTGATAGACGAATTTGAAACACCCTGAATAGAAAACTTTGTAATTTCTGATGAATAGCTCAAAATTGATCTGAAAGAAAATATTAAGGTGCTTTACCAGAGGTAAATATTTCTATCCAAAATTTAGGTAATTTCAACTATTTTGTTTTGAAGTTTTTATACCAAAATGTAGCATTGGACTGTGTTTAAAATACATTAGAAGATACGCATTGAGGAGATACGTATTCTTAGGTATATACATGTCTCACTAGGTATGACATCTGGCGCATGCTTGGGTCCAAGGTTTTGCTATGAAAAAAAACACGAAAAGCATATTCTTAAATAATTAAATAATTTAGTTATCATGTCTTAATCTTAAGATAATTTGTATGTTGTAGGATATGTGTTCGTGATTCACGATCTCGTATACGTGGGCTAAAAAAATCGTTAACAACGAAAATCATAAGCTGGTTAGATAAATTGTACCGTTAGCGACATTTATGAATGGCTTATTATTCTAAACTCTCAGGATTTACAAGCTTTTGTCCATTTTGATAAAATAACATAAAATACAGTTGTAGTCACCGTTCTTGGCGTCATCAACGCCATATGAAATAAGTAAACAGATCGAGCCTCCGTACCATGGGCGGAACCCTGCGCAATCTAATTCGCAGCGCATCTGCTACTCTCTCCAGTACGCATGAAGTGGGTAACATGGGACCGCTGTTTTCATTCTCTTCCTGGAAATAGTCTAATAAATTTAGTACGGGCTGTCGGCCTTCTCCATTGATCGTATTTCCGGGCATTGTACAATTTTATATTGAAGATTGATAATAGGACAACTCAAATTGCACGCCAATGTCAAGTAAGTTATCACTCTAACAAATATGATTGAAGGGCACTAATACGTAACGACAAAATTTCCGAGACGAAGGCACATAACTAAAAAACGTATATCTTTCAGCTTACCGAACAAGCGTTCACACACAGGGGTAGGTTGCATGTGTATGTATGAGGGAGATGGAGATATATAAAAGGATACATTTAGTCTTACTTTGACCCGCCAAGAACGGTGACTACAACTATAGTCTTACTTCTAACAACAATTAAATTCAAATATGAAACCACACGGATTATTTCATAAAATATGTCAAATGATACAAATTATCCAACCTCTATCTTCCGAGTACGACATTTCGAACATACTTGACTTTTTAATATATCCTTAACATCAAAAGTTTGTATTTAAAAACTCCAATGAACATAACGACGTCATAATGTCGGCATTTCTGGGCACCGCTGACGTATGACGACCAACAAAAATTTCATAGAAATGACATCATTATGACGGTTTAATGTCACACCCAATTGACGTCCTAGTATGTCGAATAAAAGACCAAATACAAAGTCGATATGACGTGGATATGACGTCTAACTGAGGTCAATATGACGTCTATATGACTTAAAGTCGCGCGGTGTATCCCAATGCCCCTGAATAATTTAGGACGTGACAACGACGCCCCCCAAAGCAGAGTTCAGGAGTGGTATAAAGGTGCCGAAACTCATATTCTACTTACCTACCACTATTGAACCCTCCCGTTCCGAATCGTCGTTATCACCTCCGCAATTTTTCAGGAGCATTTGGATCAAAGTGGTTAATAAAGAACTAAAAAACACCGTTTGATCTCAAACACGTTCCGGTCTTGCGGTGGTTCACAATTTATTTGTAGCAGGTTATCAAAATTTTCAATTTTCAAAGGAGGCCTGGGTGTTACCCAAGCCTTAGTGACTATGTGTTAAATACGACGAAGCAATCATGATGTCGGTCAAACCCATGGATATATAAAACAAAATGGCCGAAGCATTGCCAAACGACGAACACGCATGCACAATCGTGCTTCTACGCTGATGATCGGCTGAATTATACTTATACCATTCCAAATTTGATTTTTTGCCGCGTTTGATTACAAATATTCTAGCAAAACGTGTTTATTGTTATACAGAGGAGTATCCAATAAATTTGATATTTACGAGAATAAAAGATGATGTAAACAGGCAAATTGAAATTATTATTAAAGAAGTCATATTAACAAGATATTATTGGTCGAAGAATTCCTGTTCCTTATTTATAAATAACAATAAAGTTGTTACTAGCATTTGAATATCAGGTTTAACTTAATGTTCTTTAAAAGTCCATATTTTCTTTGTAGAGTTTATTTTTCAGTTGCGACTGTCCTAAAAAAGACTAACAGCTTTTGAAGGACGTCTTGTTGTCGTCATAAAAATGGCGTCATTAGAGACGTCATTTTTCAGTCAATGACGTTTCTGACCAAAAGTGACCAAATGATGACGGCGTCATCATGTTCACTGGGATGCAGTAACTTTTCAATCGGACAATCTAATGAGCAAACAAGAACGCTAATAATGTAATTCATTTAATAATTATACACTATCCATGAGTAGGTAAGTTGTCTTAACATATTCCAATTACATTCCAGCCTAGCACTATTTACTGAAAAAAAATAAAAAAATAATCCATAGAAATTACATGTATTTTATTAAAATTAATCCCCTTTATCTTCCGGCGAGGCTTGCTTTAAATTGCGTTTGTCGCAATCCATTTCTGTGACTCGTTTTGTCTGCATTCTTTTGTTTTGAAACCATATTTTCACCTGAAATAAAAAAATCGGATGAAGTACCCTCTGAGAAAAATATTAGTTACGAACATGTACAATAGAGAAATTAAACCGATCAAGTCAGACAAACAGGCCCACATAGACATTCTTCCCTGCCCTACCGGTAGTTACTGCCCAGGCTATTGAGCGCCCCCCCCCCCTTGACGTCTGACACTTGCGTTTGTAATCTAACACCATTGGCCACTGTGTTACTTTCTGATACATCATGGTATACTAACTATAAGTTATAGCTGTAGGACCTGAGCATTGCGATTTTTTTGTATCCTTAAGGCCCGTATCGTCAGTCGTCCCTACAGTTGTAGGGCGCCTTTATGGCCTCCTTGATTGTCATAGTTTTTGTGCTTCTCCGTGTCAGAACTCTATTTTGAGGTTATGTCACAAACATCTATTTGCATCAAATTGTGCTTGTTTTTGGGTTATATCATGTTTTATCAGCCTGAAATTTCCTACAATTTAAAAAGAGAACATATCTTCACAATAGGAGAGCGCTGACGCTGACACGCGACAAGTGTAATCTAGAAATTTTCGAAAGAGAGAAAGGAGGATGCCAATCAAGGAGGCCATAAAAGCGCTGTACAATTGTAGGGACGGCTGACGATATGGGCCTTAGCATTCGCTCTTTGGCAACACTTACGTTTACAGCACAATTATACATTAGGTCCAGTCCGAAGACATCACTTTGTTTATTTACTATGTAGTCCGGCCCTGGAGTACTAGCCGCACACCAAGTTAAAAGACAAGAGATCCCCGCTCCCGTCCCGTCGCGCCCCGGTCTTGCACGTTGAGTCATTCGGTTTTTGGTGTTACAGCCGTACGGTCGCGCGGCTTGTTTGTGCGTTAGGAAACACGTAAAATACGCGATTCCTTTTCAAATCGGTTTAGTGCTTGGTGAGTAGGTTGGTAAGTATGTACAACAATGGGTTGTTTTGTTGCTCATCCAGTAGCACGTTATATATA